TTTCAAAAAATGGAATAAAATTGATTATTCTTAGTCTACTGCAATTTAGGTTCAATTGGTAGGTTTTTTTGAAGGTTATTACGTGTTGTTTTAAGGTAAAAAAAAATAGAGACATGCTGATTAATTTTATTTGAATTTTTTTCGAATTTTTTCATTTTCCAGGAAAACATTCTATTCAAAAAAATTGAATAAAATTGATTATTCTTAGTCTACTGCAAGTTACGTTCAATTAGTAGGTTTTTTTGAAGGTTATTACGTGTTGTTTTAAGGTAAAAAAAAATAGAGATATGCTGATTAATTTTATTTGAATTTTTTTCGAATTTTTTCATTTTCCAGGAAAACATTCTATTTCAAAAAATGGAATAAAATTGATTATTCTTAGTCTACTGCAATTTAGGTTCAATTGGTAGGTTTTTTTGAAGGTTATTACGTGTTGTTTTAAGGTAAAAAAAAATAGAGACATGCTGATTAATTTTATTTGAATTTTTTTCGAATTTTTTCATTTTCCAGGAAAACATTCTATTCAAAAAAATTGAATAAAATTGATTATTCTTAGTCTACTGCAATTTAGGTTCAATTAGTAGGTTTTTTTGAAGGTTATTACGTGTTGTTTTAAGGTAAAAAAAAATAGAGACATGCTGATTAATTTTATTTGAATTTTTTTCGAATTTTTTCATTTTCCAGGAAAACATTCTATTCAAAAAAATTGAATAAAATTGATTATTCTTAGTCTACTGCAAGTTACGTTCAATTAGTAGGTTTTTTTGAAGGTTATTACGTGTTGTTTTAAGGTAAAAAAAAATAGAGATATGCTGATTAATTTTATTTGAATTTTTTCGAATTTTTTCATTTTCCAGGAAAACATTCTATTCAAAAAAATTGAATAAAATTGATTATTCTTAGTCTACTGCAATTTAGGTTCAATTAGTAGGTTTTTTTGAAGGTTATTACGTGTTGTTTTAAGGTAAAAAAAAATAGAGACATGCTGATTAATTTTATTTGAATTTTTTTCGAATTTTTTCATTTTCCAGGAAAACATTCTATTTCAAAAAATGGAATAAAATTGATTATTCTTAGTCTACTGCAATTTAGGTTTAATTGGTAGGTTTTTTTGAAGGTTATTACGTGTTGTTTTAAGGTAAAAAAAAATAGAGACATGCTGATTAATTTTATTTGAATTTTTTTCGAATTTTTTCATTTTCCAGGAAAACATTCTATTCAAAAAAATTGAATAAAATTGATTATTCTTAGTCTACTGCAATTTAGGTTCAATTAGTAGGTTTTTTTGAAGGTTATTCCGTGTTGTTTTAAGGTAAAAAAAAATAGAGACATGCTGATTAATTTTATTTGAATTTTTTTCGAATTTTTTCATTTTCCAGGAAAACATTCTATTTCAAAAAATGGAATAAAATTGATTATTCTTAGTCTACTGCAATTTAGGTTTAATTGGTAGGTTTTTTTGAAGGTTATTACGTGTTGTTTTAAGGTAAAAAAAAATAGAGACATGCTGATTAATTTTATTTGAATTTTTTTCGAATTTTTTCATTTTCCAGGAAAACATTCAATTTCAAAAAATGGAATAAAATTGATTATTCTTAGTCTACTGCAATTTAGGTTCAATTGGTAGGTTTTTTTGAAGGTTATTACGTGTTGTTTTAAGGTAAAAAAAAATAGAGACATGCTGATTAATTTTATTTGAATTTTTTTCGAATTTTTTCATTTTCCAGGAAAACATTCTATTTCAAAAAATGGAATAAAATTGATTATTCTTAGTCTACTGCAATTTAGGTTTAATTGGTAGGTTTTTTTGAAGGTTATTACGTGTTGTTTTAAGGTAAAAAAAAATAGAGACATGCTGATTAATTTTATTTGAATTTTTTTCGAATTTTTTCATTTTCCAGGAAAACATTCTATTCAAAAAAATTGAATAAAATTGATTATTCTTAGTCTACTGCAATTTAGGTTCAATTAGTAGGTTTTTTTGAAGGTTATTACGTGTTGTTTTAAGGTAAAAAAAATAGAGACATGCTGATTAATTTTATTTGAATTTTTTTCGAATTTTTTCATTTTCCAGGAAAACATTCTATTCAAAAAAATTGAATAAAATTGATTATTCTTAGTCTACTGCAATTTAGGTTCAATTAGTAGGTTTTTTTGAAGGTTATTACGTGTTGTTTTAAGGTAAAAAAAATAGAGACATGCTGATTAATTTTATTTGAATTTTTTTCGAATTTTTTCATTTTCCAGGAAAACATTCTATTCAAAAAAATGGAATAAAATTGATTATTCTTAGTCTACTGCAATTTAGGTTTAATTGGTAGGTTTTTTTGAAGGTTATTACGTGTTGTTTTAAGGTAAAAAAAAATAGAGACATGCTGATTAATTTTATTTGAATTTTTTTCGAATTTTTTCATTTTCCAGGAAAACATTCTATTCAAAAAAATTGAATAAAATTGATTATTCTTAGTCTACTGCAATTTAGGTTCAATTAGTAGGTTTTTTTGAAGGTTATTACGTGTTGTTTTAAGGTAAAAAAAATAGAGACATGCTGATTAATTTTATTTGAATTTTTTTCGAATTTTTTCATTTTCCAGGAAAACATTCTATTCAAAAAAATTGAATAAAATTGATTATTCTTAGTCTACTGCAATTTAGGTTCAATTAGTAGGTTTTTTTGAAGGTTATTACGTGTTGTTTTAAGGTAAAAAAAATAGAGACATGCTGATTAATTTTATTTGAATTTTTTTCGAATTTTTTCATTTTCCAGGAAAACATTCTATTCAAAAAAATGGAATAAAATTGATTATTCTTAGTCTACTGCAATTTAGGTTCAATTGGTAGGTTTTTTTGAAGGTTATTACGTGTTGTTTTAAGGTAAAAAAAAATAGAGACATGCTGATTAATTTTATTTGAATTTTTTAAGAATTTTTTCATTTTCCAGGAAAACATTCTATTCTAAAAAATGGAATAAATTTCATTATTCTTAGTTTATTGCAATTTAGGTTCAATTGGTAGGTTTTTTTGAAGGTAATACGTGTTGATTGAAGGTAAAAAAATAATAGAGACATGCTGATTAATTTTATTTGAATTTTTTAAGAATTTTTGCATTTTCCAGGAAAACATTCTATTCTAAAAAATGGAATAAAATTGATTATTCTTAGTCTACTGCAATTTAGGTTCAATTGGTAGGTTTTTTTGAAGGTTATTACGTGTTGTTTTAAGGTAAAAAAATAATAGAGACATGCTGATTAATTTTTTATGAATTTGTTTTTTCATTTTCGATGATAACATTCTATCTAAAATTTCATTTTTAACAAAATTGTATATTGCAGAAATAATAGCATTTTTGATTTCAATGTTCCCTGTTGAAAATTCCTATGTGAGAACACATATGGGATCCCATCCAGGATCTCTTGTGAGTTCTTATGTGGGTTCCCATACAGGTTCACACATAAGATCCTGTATGAAAAGGTTCCTGGGATGAACTTGCGTGAGATCAAGCGCACGATCTTATGTCTCTGTAAAAGCAATAACACAGGATCCCATGAGGTTTCCTGTGTAGGTTCCTATATGAACAACACGATAAATAGGAACACACATGGGATCTTATCCGAGATCTTGTATGAGTTCTTACATAGGTTCTCACATATAAGAAGATTAATAGCATATATATGAAAGCATTCTATAAAATCTTATTAAGCTGCTATTAATCTTCTTATATGTGAGAACCTATGTAAGAACTCATACAAGATCTCGGATAAGATCCCATGTGTGTTCCTATTTATCGTGTTGTTCATATAGGAACCTACACAGGAAACCTCATGGGATCCTGTGTTATTGCTTTTACAGAGACATAAGATCGTGCGCTTGATCTCACGCAAGTTCATCCCAGGAACCTTTTCATACAGGATCCTATGTGTGAACCTGTACGGGAACCCACATAAGAACTCACAAGAGATCCTGGATGGGATCCCATATGTGTTCTCACATAGGAATTTTCAACAGGGTTGCCAATATTACTGAAATTTTAGGTGCTGTGGGGGTAATTATTAATCATTATTATTATTATTATTATTTATTATTATTGTTAAATATTATTATTATAATTATTATTATAATTATTATTATAATTATTATTATTAACTATTAAATAATAAATATTAATAATTTAGTACACAATTGTGGATCTAATAAATTAAATAAATAAAATTGACAATATTAATGAAAGTGTAACTAATTTAATAAAAGGATTATTAATCTATTCAATGTGCGATGCTTTTCATTCGTATTTTTGGTCCATTTAACGTTGATTATGATGATACATATATACTGGGATAGTCACTCGGAGTCAAGTACTTTGCTTCATAAATCTCAATTTTGACCCTAACTTTACTCTCGACGACTAGAGAGATTCGGTCGGTTAATTTATATTCGATTCAAATCCCTGGAAACAGAAATGCATTCAATAAATTTACAAATCTTCCATTAGTGTTGAATAATTCACATAAAAATTCACTTTTTCAATATACATATATATATATATGAAAACAAAAATAAGAATTTATCTTAGTTTTAACTATTTGAAAAAAAGTATATATTATAAAAATTTAATTTCTATATTATTAATTTCTTTAATTAATTAAGTAATTTTATTGAGTTGAGGATTTTTTAAAACTATTTTTGCGAGGACATTGTATTCATTTTTGTTAAAAATGAACTAATAGACCGTAGCGCCACCTACGAGGTTCATATTTGAATCAAGGTTTTTTTTAATGTATCCATTGGTCCCATCTCTTGTGATCTCTTCCTTTAGGCCATCGAGAGCAATCATTATTCTTTTTCTCTGATCAGGTAAGAAGCGACTTTTTATTCATTTCAATTTTAATAAATAATATTTTATTTAATATAATAATAATCCAATATTGATGAAGAATTTTTGTTTGAACGTTTATCTCTTATATATACAAAAATGGCTGACATGAAGAAAAAAAATCCAACAATTTGATCCAATTAAGTTTATTTCTTATTTAATAATAACTTTTACAGATTTTCTATATAAACTCTTATAAATGCAATGAGGTTGATGGGGAGGGGGGATGATTTGTAAAATTATTGGTTTGTTTACATCTTACGATTTATATATTATAAATCGTTAATATATATATATATAATAAATTCTTTACAAAATACAACGAAGACGCGACACACGCGAGAAAATTTATAATAACATTCTCTCGCTTTTCTTTCTCTCACATGCATGAATCAATGAAGAAACACAAATTTAATTTAACAATTCCTAGTAAATTTATACATTTTTGCAAAATCCTTGAAAAAAAATTTTTTTTTTAATAGCAAACGAATTTTCAAAGATTTGCAAATATTCACGATATGAATAATTACAATATGCATTTTTATATTTTTCTTTTAGTGATAAATATACATATAATGAAGGAAAAATAAAAAAAAAATTCACTCGAGAATTGAAAATTCGAGTATAGGAGTAAAAAAATATAGCGCACTTTTCAAAAAACTCTTATAGTCACACTGATTTCTTGATAGATTGTGTATATATATATAGCAAATATAAAAAGTTATTTTCTTGTGCTCAATATTCTATTTCACTTTTTCTTACCTTATTTTTGTTTTACAATAATGGAATTTTTCACATAATGAAATTCAAATTATCAAAATTATTGCCAACTTTTTTTTTTTTTTTAAAATAAACAGACATCTCTTTTTATTTTTCGTTTTGTTCTAAGTTGATGAATGAGTTGTTCATTAATATTCCAGTTGACTATTGTGGAAGATGAACTCACTTCTTCATGAAATGTGATCTGAGTCTGGAAAATAATGAGCCACTAATTTTCTTTCTTTTCTTTTTTTTTCTCTTTCTTTTTTTTGTTTTTGATTCGTACAAGAGTATAAGATGACAATAATTTTTTAATTATATTATACAAATAAATTCACTTTTTTTTTTTCGTACTTGCATTTGAAACTCTCTCCCTGACTTGAATTTTCCTAATGAATAAATTATCCCTAGTAAAACTTCTTCGCTTGTGCTTCTTTATTGTCTCTAAAAGAGAAAATAAAAATAGAAAAAAAGAAAAATTAAAATAAATGATAAAAAAAAAAATTTCTAAAAAAGAATAAACTTACTTGTATAAACTATATGCTAAAAGAAGAGCCATTTGTATTGAAATAAATAATAAAAACATCGTTGTTGTCAAGCAATTTTGTGTAGGACAACTGCCTGTATCAATTTTAATATTTTGTTTGTCACGTTTTAATTCATTTAGTCCATCGCGCATCTCAGAAATGAGTGAATGATAGTCATAGCCCATTGGTTGGACCTGAAATTAATTTTTTTTTTTTTAAATTATATTTATGGATTACTTTGGGATTTAATTTATTTCAATAATTTACCTGAGCAGTTGGAGCACGCGCTTGATGATTCATAATACCATCAGCCTTTGAATTAATTTCGCTCATAATTGATTTAATTTCGCGAACTGCATTTATAATTAAATTTTGATTATTTAATACAGTATCGACTTCTTGTCTTCGAATTGTGTCTATAAAAGGAGCAGGTTGAACATGTTGTCCAGGTTGTCCACCAGGAGTTTGAACACCTGTAAAACAAGTTGTAAATTCAGATGATCATTGTCATGAACATTTTGCTTCCTCTTTACGATCAGCAAAAAAAAAAAAAAAATTTCCTTCCTCATGGAGAAAGCATTAACATTGATAAATAAGCCTACAGAATTTTTACCAAAATCCATTAAAACACAGAAAATTAAAAGGCATTAAAATAAGCTGCAACGCTTATTATTTTAATCCAATTTTGCTTATTTTAATCCATTTTGGTATTAAAATAAGCAAAATTGGATTAAAATAATAAGCGTTGAAGCTTATTTTAATGCCTTTTAATTTTCTGTGAACCTGTTAAAGTTATCGTGTTCACAAAAAAGGGGTCTACACATAGGTACATCCGAACAATTGATTAGGATCTCATATAACATGTTTCTATATAGAGAAAAATTTGTTTTCGCCATTTTGAAAATTTTTATAAACGAAAGGACTACAAGGCTTCTTGGATTTTATTAGATTAAAAAATAATTTTTACCTCCGTATTGTATTTGCGAAATCAAACTCATTGATCTCTCCTGTATACCAACAATTTCATGTAAAGTTTTTCTAATTTCGCGTATTTGACCTGATGTTTCACTTTGAACAGCGAAAATTTGACGTAATTCTCTTGTAGTCTCTGCCTCGTACCATTCCTCTTCATCTGCTTTTATCTCATCAGGATGCTCTCTAAAACCATTTTTTTTTTTAATAAAAAATTATTTCCCTATTTTTCTATTTTAATAATATACTTTTTATATTCCTCTTTTTGTTGATCCATTTTTTTCTGATACTCCTGATATTCTTGATTTATTTTTGCGCTATCCTCATTTGAAACCTGATGCATTGTTTGTGGCATTTGTCCAGGTGGATGAAGTGACGTTGTTAAAAAATGAAATACATCATGATCATCCGCCAATCCACCTGTAAATAATTTTTTAATTTTTAATTTCTATATTAGAAAAATAGTATAAATTCTCAAAATATATTCTCAATATACCAGTGGCTGCAGAAACACCAAAATATCCAAATTGTGGTAGGAAAATATTTTCTTGCCGAAAACATATTTCATAATCTTGTTCATTATTCGTCATACCATTGTGAAATAGGACCTTAAAAATTAAAATTATTTTAATTTCAAAACAAAAAGTAATAATAATAATTAAAATTATTATAATATATCTACCGTTAAAGTATTTTTGTAATATTCAATCTTTGCTTTTGTTGGGAATGGTTTATTACGAAAATCACGCAAACAACCACCTGTGAGTTGACCAACTCCATCACTGAAAATTAAAAAAAAAAATTAATTTAATAATTAATAATTAATAATTATTAAATTAATAAAATTGAATTGCAGATGAAACTTTTCATCGAACTTACTTGCTGTGATCAAAAGTTTTTGTCCCATCATTTATAACACCCATAATATATGGATTATTATGTTTATTATCATTGTCAAAGGAATCAAAGAAAATACCAAGACCTGTCCATTGATCGGAACTACCAAAAACTGTGCCATTATATTGTCCTTTTGAAGTTGTATACCAAAATGCCAAACCATCAGCTCCAACTCTTCCACGACCAGTTACACGAAATACAAGATCCACTTCCCACCATTCGAAATTTGTCGGTTTTTTCGTCCATATTGCACCTAATTTTTAGAAAATTATGCAATTAGTGGAGAAAAAATTAAAATATATTTTAATACAAAAATTTTTTTGATAAAAAAATCTTTTTACAAAAAGATAAACATATATATACCTTTTTGACTTCTCAATGATGGCGCAACTCTGACGCTGTCTGAACTAGCGATTGCATCTGTAAATAAAATTTAATTTGATTAAAGGTCAAACATATAATAAAAAACAGTATCCATTATCAACACAAAAATTTTTTTTTTTTCAAAAGTATATATATTTAAAAAATGAAAGTTTTTCGATTAATAATAAATTGAAAATTAAATACAATCGATTTATAATGGCGGCAATATATTTCGATTAATCGATATTAATATACAAAATTGCCGCAAAAATAATAATAAATAATAATAACAAAACAATTAGTTTGAATATTTAATTCAGATAATCATTTAATTTAATATAACTGTAGGAAATAGTTTTAGTCAATCAACTTGTGATTATGAAAAAAAGTATACATGACCTCAAAATATTGCCTACGTCAACATAAATTCCTCATATTCTTTATTCAAATACCCCATGTGAAATACAATTTTTTCCATTTATATTATCATTATTTTAATTGTTTTTTTCTTTATTTATGATTATTAATTTTTAAAACAAACATTCTATTATTAAAAGAAAAGAAAAATATTAAAAGAAAAGAGAAATAATAAAAGAAAAAAAATCATCAGTAAAGAAACAGAAAAAAAAAATTCCAATAAAATTATACAAAAAAGAAAATAAAAATTCCAAGTCATTTTAATTTATAAAATAATTTTTTAATTGTCAAAAGCCGGAAAATAACATACGGTACTTTGCGTGAAAGTTCAATCAGTAAAACAGAAATCTAATTTAATAGGTAAAAAAAAAAATAAAATTATAACCGGTAAAGAAAATTAAAGATCTAGAGAAAAGAGTGTTTTAAATTATATAATTTTATATAAATTAAATAATTTATGATTGGTAAAAATTTTTTTTTGGGAAACATATTGAAAAATTATAATATGGTTAAGATTTGTGTTCACACTTACTTCCACCATATTCCCAGAATGGTACACTTCCATCTTTTTGTGCAAGATACGTTGGTTTAAATGAATATTTATATTCAAATCGACGATGTATTTGATCGGCTAAAATTTCAGAAAATACGAAAAATAAGAGAAAAATCACGAACCACCTTACTTCAGCAGCCATCGTCATTTCTATATTCAACACATATACACACTATAAAGTAATATTGTATTTATATATGAAAGCCTTGAAATCCCACGTTGAACTCTAGTGATTGGTTAAAATTTCTTAATCTTACATTTGATAGGTTCAATTTTCGAATGACGTGTCAATATGTCCGCCATTTTTCATAAGGTTATAAAATTTTTCAAAGAAATTTGTTAAATTCATTTTAAATATCTTAGTAATTTTAAGAAAAATTTATTCAATTGTTAAATTGAATCATTAATTTTTAATTAATAACATTTTTTAATAATATTTCTGTCAAAATTAAACTCAACTTTATGTTTATGTATGTTGAATATTAAATTTCGCGCCATTTTCTCTTCCACGTCGATAAGAAATAAAAATATTTCTTCTTTTTAAAAATATATTTTGATTTTTAAAATTATTAATGTTTATTTTAATGAATTTTTCATATTTTTCTATATGAAAATTGTTATTAATTTTAAATAATTGAGAAATTAAGGGAAATATGGAATGTATGTGTGGACTTGGCTTTAGCTTGCCTTTTGAAATTTGTCCAGCCGGTAATTAGGAGCAAAATTCAAGATGGAGGATTGGGTGCAGTTAGTGGACATAACATCTTTGTTCCATAAACATTTCTAAATTGTTTATTTTAAATATCTATGTTTATTCAAATAACATTTATGAAAACGTTTTATGATAAAATCGTTATTTTATTATATAATGTACATGATACGTTTTCATTGTGTCATTTGAGAAAAACAGGTACTTTTTTAAAAAAAGTTTATATTCAATAATGTATTACGTCATATTGAATACAAAATCATTGTGTCAAGTTAATTAAGTGCAATTAAAGTCAGTATTTATAAAAAATAGTGCTAGAAATGTCTAGATTCGTTTGCGTATGAGGTTCAGCTAATAAAAAAAAAAAAATCAAAATGGCGACACTCATTGACAACTACGAGCAACAATACGCGATTTTGACAGCTGACATAACTGCCAAAATTGGTAGAATATCAGTTTTAAATGGCAGTAAGTATTTTTTTTTTATAAACAATAGTGTAAAATAATTTCCTTTACTGAATTCTAGTTTTAAATCTATTTCTTATGATAATTTCCTTCAAAAAATATGTATCAACAGTCAAAAAATTGATAATTGTAATTTTTAGGTGAGAAAAGGCCATTTATTCAAGATGTTGATCGAGAACTTGAAGAAGCACAAGAGCTGGTAAACATTTTTTTTGTAATTTAATTTTTGTACCTAACCTCAAAAATCATTGACTAGTGTCATTTAGAGCAGACGAAAATTTAAAACACATGACTGCCTTATCACCTAAAATTTCAGTCAAATATTACTGTAATTTTAGGTAGAATTTGATAAAATTTTGTAACACTGAAGATAATTAACATTCGTATCGAAAACTATGATTTAGAATAATAGATCATCGAGATATTTTTTTTGTACGAAAGGTAAAGAATTTTTAATTTTGAAAGAATAATGTTTATCGTAGCTTGAGCAAATGGAATTGGAAGTACGTGGTGTCTCAGGCTCAGCAAGAGATCGTCTCCGTGGTAGAGTCGAGAGTCATAGAGCAGAACTCAAAAGATTAACACAAGAATTTGAATTATCAAAGAATCCAAAAAATGAAGTCATCGATTTGGGTATGGAAGAGATATGGGACAATGGAATAACTGAAGAGCAAAGAAAAAGATTACTCGACGCTTCAGAGAGAATAGATCGTACTGGAAGAACTTTACAAAATGGTTATCGAATGGTTCTTGAGACCGAAGAAATTGGTACTCAAGTTTTAAAAGATCTTCACGACCAAAGAGAAACAATTCAAAGAAGCAGAGGAAGGGTAAAATTTATTTTTTTTTGATAAAAATTTTTAGCTTTGAAAAATTCTGTAAAAGAATAATTAATTGTCGAAACATAAATTATATAAAAACAAAAACTTGCTTTCAGTTACGAGATACAGATGCAGAACTTGGACGTGGATCTCGTCTATTGTCTGGAATGATATTCAGGGCTCTTCAACAGAGGCTAATCTTGGCTGGTGTTACACTTGTATTAATATTTGTAGGTTGTTTTGTTATTTATTATAGTTTTAAGAGTTAAATTATTGTGCCTCGACTGATAAATCCAAAAAAAAAAATGGAGTTAACCAAGGATTGAATCCTACCTCCTATTTTGGTGTTCCGCGTTTTAATGTACTCTTGTCTATAAAGTCAAAGTAATTTGCGAAGCAATGCTTCAGCAAAAGTGACTCTTCAATTTATTTATAGAATCACGTCACTACAACTGACAAGACAAACACGTGACACATTATATGTATCATGAACTTGGACATTTGCCATCTACGTCGAGTAAATGGTATTTCTTAAAGTTATTGAATAAGAGGGTTGAAAAACCCTCTAAATTGTCCCCTTTTTTTTAAAGAAATGAGTGGACTGAAAATTTCAAAAGTTAAACTCGTCATTTAATTGACGACTCTAGTCATTTTACATTCCTATTTAGTATTTAAAAAGAAATTTCAACTAATAAATTGTTCCCAATTATCTTAAGTTTCCTGTTAAAAAAATAAACAGTTGGAAAGTAAAAAATTCCCTTAAATCTTGTGGATGTTTTTATTTATTTTTTTTTTTTATTCAACAGTGTCTGTTTTCTTTTCATAAAAAATGTAATCACTTCTCGCGATAAATACATGATCGTTTCACTATTTAATTACGCTAATGCACTTCACTATTTAAAACTACACTTTCAAACGCACTTTTTTAAAATTTTTTTTTGGAGATACATACTTGAGTAAAAAGAGTACTTCTGTGTTTTTTTTTTTTGTACATAACTGACGTGAATGGAAGAAAAAGGAAGGCGAAAAATTAATTGTAAATAAGACGTTGATGGTTATTTGTGAATGTATAATGTAATTTGTAAAAGAAATAAGCAAGCTTATAACAATATCTCGATTTTATTATTATCTATCACGTTATTATCAGAAGCCTTAATGGCATTCTTTTTGTGATCGTCTCACGACGCTATGTACCGATGAGGAAGAAAAAAAAAGATATAATAAAAAGATATATATCAGAAGATGAATATTTTCTTTTCCATGATAAAAAGATGCGAATCGCTTTTTTTTTTAAAAAAAAGGCGACGTGAGAAAATTGGCAAATGTGGCGACATTATTGCTGCATTGGTGCTGTTAAGATTTTATTCAGACAGTATATATATATATATATATTTTGCTCAACCCGGTCAGTCTAGTTGTTGATAAAGATCCTCCAATTGTGGCTTAAAATAAGCTTTCAACTGAGGCCGTTTTGTTTTCAACGTCGGCGTTAAAAGTCCATTTTGCACTGAGAATGGATCTGGATGAAGGTATATGTCTTTGACCTAACAAAAAGGGAATTTATAATTTTTTTAGATATACAATTTTTGTTTTATTGATAAAAAGAAAATTTACCTGCTCGAATGATTTAAGGCCAGCTTCTTTTCCCCACGAGTGCATATCATCGAGAATTAACCTTTTTACTTCAGGATTGGCGCAAAGAACACTAAGTGTGCCTGGTATTTTGTTCTCTAGAGCCCAACATTTAACAACGTCAACATCAGGAACAACAACTGCGACAACACACGACTTGAGCGATTCACCATGAACGAAGACCTGATGAACATATTGGCTTCGAATGTAAATGTTTTCTATTTTTTCTGGAACAATGTATTCACCTTGCGATAATTTAAAGATATGTTTCTTTCTGTCAATTATCTTCAGCGTTCCGTTCTGCAAAAAAAATGTAATCTTTAAAATAAAATAATGAACAAATTCTGATTTCTTTTTTATAACAAATTTTAATCTTTAGTTCTTCCAGTGAAAGGAATTCTTTAAAAACCAAAAAGGTAAGTGAAAATTATTCTTATTTTTTGTGAAAAAAAAATGTTCGGACAAGTAGAAGAAAATGAAAAATTAAATTCTATTGATAGAAAAATAGATGGTAAAATCCACTATTTCATTTCTATCAGTGTAACATTGAATTTAATAATAAATTGCAAAAAGGTAATTAATTACCGGCAACCACATGCCAACGTCACCAGTGTGATGCCAACCCATTTCGTCAATGACTTGTGCCGTTTTCTCCGGATCCTTAAAATATCCCATAAAAACGTTTGTACCCTTAACACAAACTTCCCCTTGATTGTTTATAGCGTAATATTCCATTTCCGGTACGTCAACTAATTTCACACAGCAACAGGCGACCGGTGGTCCAACGTGTTCAGGAACATAATCTCCCTTTTGAAAAAAATTAAAATCAATTACATTTTTAATATAATCTTAACGTAATTAATTCTATTAGCATTTATTTTTTTAAAATAATTTTTGTTTGCATTAAGTCAATAAATTTTTATAGTAAATATAAAAAGAAAGTCAATTTTCCTCGTGAGAGATTTCAATTATCGGATCATTATTTTTATTTGTTAATTATTTCGGAATTCTCCGACGACGTCAGTGACAGTCAAAATTCACGTAATGCGTTTGGCGTCTTAACGATTCGAGAAAGGTGTGACAGTTTATGACCACACGTGCCAAAAAACACGTGGTAATGACGTTTTTATTATCCTAGCCAACGTAAATATCTACGTTTTCTTTAATATCCAGTTGATTTTATTCCCCTTACGATAAAAATAAGAAACCACGTGTATTATTTCATTTATTAGTCAATTATTTAACAAGTAATAAATAAATTCAAAACATTTTTTTTTATTTAAGATTTTTAAACTAAAAAAAACTACACTAAGTGTAATAATTGTTAAAAAATATGAATTAATTTTTATTACGATACTCAATTTAAAAAATTTTAATTTTACATCCAATTAAAATAACAGATAATTTAGAAACAGTAATTTTTTATTCTATGTATAATAAAATTAAGTAATTGAAAAATATGTTTTTCTTAAATAACTAAAAATTTGTCTTACAAAAAGTTAACTCGTGTACTGTACGTATAATTATAAATAAAATTTATTTTTAAACTATGACGAAGTAGTGAAAAATAAAATACAAAAAAATAACATTTGCTTAATATTCTTAAACTTAAAAAATTTTTTCTTAAACTGTTTTTCAATGTACAATATTATTGGATAAAAATTACAATTATTTTTTTCTGTATAAAATTATTATAATCAATGAAATTTGTAGTTTGTTGTTTTTGGATTTGGTTTTTCAAAAGTAAACTTGTAAAATTCAATAATGTTTCATGTATGACTTATTGAAAAGCGATAAATGTAAATAGTATACATATATATCTACACTGAGGATTCTTAAAATAAGGAAGGCTCTCAAGAAATTTATCTACTCTCAAGTTTATTTTCGGTTCGTTTGTTGACCGCAAAATTTTGCAATTGATTCTATGTTCTCAAAGGAACATATTTATTGCTTACGATGTGTAATACATTTGACTTTGATGATAAATTGTGTTTGACTTGTTTCCATCAATCTTAAATACAATTGTTCATTTTTTTTTCAAAATGTATTTTCTTTTAAATTAAAAAATTTACTAATACTTAATAAAATTTATATAAATTTTTTTCTCTTACTTTTATAGATAATTATTTTGAAAAATTAATATTTTTTTATAAATCAGATTAAAAAGTATGTAATAAAAAACAAAGGTAGAAGAGAAAATTATTGTAAATAAATTTATAAGTAATTAAAAAAAAAAAAAAACATTTTCAAGAATAAGTAAAAAAAATGTAACAATATAAAAATCTCGTGGCAAATTAAAAAGGGAAATTGATTTTTTAGTTACTAGAATGCAATCTTTCAACTAGTGGTTTACACGCATGCACCCGTTTTAATGATTTCCCAGAATAGCAAATGATGCCCTATGCCAAATTTACCCGCGAAACCCTGCAACTCGAATTTCTAAACAGGTTTAGAAAATAGAACATTCATTCACATTTTAGATATATGATTATAGTAACCTGATAAATGCTTTTCATTAAATCATTTTAATAATTTTTTTGCCATATAAAATAAAAAATATTTTTTCATAAATATTTGTTTTCATTTTTTTTTATATCTGAAAACACTAATTTCCAAAAGTATTTAAACTAAAAAAAAATAATAAAATCAATAACTGAGTAAATATTTTACAATTATTGAAAATCTTGAAAAAACATATTTATAAATACGTCATCCCAAGGTTTTAAATGATTGTAAAATATTTATTTTACAATATTGCCCACCTATCGATTTTATTTCCCCCTTGTTTATTTATAACTGATTTATTAACGTGTCGAGTTCAAGACAACCATTATTACTCAAATACTCGCGGTCAACTATTTTTGTTTATTATAGAGAACAGAGTAGTAAAATAATAGACACAAGTTTATTCTAATTTCTTTATAACTAGCAAAAAAAAATATTTTTAGAATAAAAAATAAGTTTTTAAAAATAATTATTTTTGAAAAAAATAGAATTCTATTTTTATTTTATTTTTTTTTTGTAATATTTACCTGAATTGTGAGAGTAACAGGAGCGCAGCATTCGGTTTGACCGTAGCCTTCAACTATAAGGCAACCGAGAGCGCATCTTGCGAAAGTTAGAACATTTCCTGCTAATGGTGCTGAGCCAACAACCATGAGTCGTAATCTACCTCCCATTCCTTCTTGAATTTTTTTGAAAATCAACTTATCCCATAAGCTATTGTTTCTTATTATACACTTTTTGATTTCACCCTCTTTTGCCCTCAGGCCCATATTGAAAAGCATTCTCTTTAAACAGGAACTTTGAAGTTCTGCTTGTACCTGAGAAAAGAGAATTAGAATTTTTTCTTTTGTTTTAAGAAAATATTTAATGAAATCTACTGATATTGGAGATAGAAAAAAAAGTTGTTTTAGAAATTAACTAACATTGGTATCAGTAGTAAAATATATTTTTAGTCAGACAGAATTTTAATTCACAATTTTTTTTTGTATCAGTAGTAAAGGTCTGTTTTAGTCAGACATCCATTAATTATTTAAATTTGGTATCAGTAGTTAAGGTCTGTTTTAGTCAGACAAGATCCGTTAATTATTTCAATTTGGTAGCAGTAGTAAAAGTCAGTTTTAGTCAGGCTAATTTCTAATTACATATACAATTTTTTTTATCAGTAGTAACAGATAATTTTAGTCAGACAGAACTTTTAATTTTATTATTTTGTTAATTAGTTTTTAAATTTCTGTATAGCTATAATGGAAAAAAATTTTTAAAAAAACATTTTTGTAAAAGTTTTTTTAAAATTGCATTAAAAAAAAAATGATTAATTTATATAACAGTAGCTTTTTGTTCATGGTTGAAAGATTACAATTCCCATTCAATGTGTGCTTTCAATTTCAAGGCTACCCGGAAAGCAAAACTTCTCTGCCAATTCAACCCACCTGTTTTAAAGTTCTTGCCATGCAACTTCCTGAGAATATGTAAGAATTTGCATCTGTCACTGGCACATCGTTTAGTTATTGCGCAGTATTGACAAGATTTCAACATTTCAAATTATTGTAAATTACATACTCATGGAGACTATTTCTTTTCAAATAATTAAAAAAAAAAATTTTTCATATCTCACGATTAATATTAAATATTAAAAAAATATTTTTCTTAAAGAATTTGATTTAGAATGAAGAAAGGCAGGTCAGGGAACTTGATGTTGTGACGTCAAAAAAAAAAAACACTTTTAAGTGTCGAATCTATTTACGATCGTGACGTCTTAATTCACAAAAAGCTCCAAGAGTTTATTTTTGAAAAAAAAATCTATCGCTAAATAAATCACGTGAAAAACGTTATAAAATATTCGAAAATTCTTTCGAGGACATATCAATAATTTAATTAAGAATTTAAAAAAATTATAATAAAAATTATTGTTATAATTTATTATTAATAATAATAATAATAATTTGATTTATAATTTCTAACCTTGTCGTAAAGACGATTTAATAATCTCGGTACTGCTGGCATAACTGATGGCCGTAATGCTTTCATATCGTCGGAAAGTCTTTTGATATCACCACTATAAAATCCAACAGCACCACCAACCATGTACATACCATTTTCGCAACATCTCTCCAACATATGTGCAAGTGGTAAAAAACTGATCATTGTATCCGTTGCATTTGGTTTATGATCACCTAATTGTAGAATTACAGCACAAACACCAGCCATAACATTTTGATGTGTTAACATTACACCCTTTGGATTACCCGTTGTTCCCGATGTATAACAAATTGTACAAAGATCCAATGGTTTTGGTGGTAATTCAGGATAATTTTTTTGTGAGCCAATTCTTTCGACATCGTCAAACCTCATAACTTCAACGCCACGATTTTTTGCCCTCTGATTTGTCGCAGGCCTCGTTTCTTTTATAACTATTAATTTCCTTAAACATCTGCAAATTTTTGAAACAAAAAGTATTTTCCAAAAATTCTTCATATAGCAGAACGGTTGCATATTGCAACCGTTTTCAATTATATTTGAATCAAATAAATTTTTTTGCTCTATGTTAATATATTGGAGAATGAAAAATTTTACCTTGGAGCTTTATCGAGAAGGAGATTACATTTTTTGTCATCTTCACAAACAACCAAACTAATGTCAGCTTGATTGATAATATATGCGCATGCATCGGGTCCTAATGTATCGTACAGTGGAACAACGACAATTGAATATGAATAACATGCTTGCTCAGTGAGAATCCATTCGGGACAATTTTGACTATAAAGACCAACTAGTGTTTGTGGTCCAGGTGATAATCCACAACAAATGAGACCGGAGCCAAAATTCTTCGCCCTGAGAAGTGTTTCGTTGTAATGAATCCATTGATAGGGCTTGCTAGGGTTCTCTCGCCAACCAAGACATGGTCCATTGTCTATTTAATTTTCATTAGATAGTATAAATTGTAATTTTATTTTATTTTAGAATAATAGTAGAAAAAGAATGTTTTTCATTCAGACAAAGCTGTAAATTTGGTACCAGTAGTAAAAGTCGGTTTCAGTCAAACAAAAATGCACTAATTATTTTAATTTCGTAGCAGTAGTAATAGTCGGGTTTAGTCAGACAATATCCACTAATTATTTGAATTTGAAAACAGTAGTAAAAGTCAATTTTAAGCAGAAAACGTAATAAATTTGTGATTTTGGTTCCTGTAGTAAAGGTCATTTTAAGTCAGACAGCATTATTATTTATAATTTTTGGTTTGGCTTTTGTTATCAGTAGTAAAAGAAAATCTTAGTTTATTGAAATAGAAGTAAATTTTTGTTTCATTAATACAAGTTAATTTTAGTCAGACAAAATTTTAATAAACTGCAATTTTTATGTAATTTTTGTTACAAGTAGTAAAAATCAGTTTCAGTCAGACAATATTTTAAAATTAAATTTAAAATCAGAAGTTATTCTTTAGTTTAAATTTGTGTAATTTTCATATCAGTAGTTTAAGGAGATTTTAGTCAGACAATGTTTAGTAATTATTTAAATATGCTTCCAGTGGTAATATTCGCTTTTAGTCAGACAACGTTATAAAACTTTTTTAATTTAAATATCAGTAGAAAAAGTAAATTTAAGTCAGTCAGCGTAAATAAAAAAATTTTCATAAATTATTATCAGTAGTAATAGTCGCTTTTTGTCAGACAATATTTTTAATTTATGTGATTTTATTAGCAGTAGTAAAGGTCAGTTTAAGTCAGACGACATTATCATTTCAATAGCAATATTTTAGTGATCTCTCGTTAAAAATTCATTAAAAATTTGTTTATACCAGTAGTAAAATTTCGTTTTAGTCAGGCTATAAATTCCTGTGATTTTTGTATCAGTAGTAAATGAGAAAGGAAATAATTCTTTTCTTGTTAAAATCGAAATTTAAAGATAAATAATTTATTTAGCGACATGAATGGCAGGGTTTTTTTTTTTGGGAAAAAAAATTTTCATTCTCTGAAAGTCAATATATCAATTCTTCTTGAGGCAATGTCTAAAAGCTTTTAGTGCCAAGTCAAGAACCAGACACACCATTAAATTGTCCGCGTCTAATCTCTGGTTACATTTCAAGTTTAATATTTTTAGGTGCGTGAGAATGAGAAACAAAGTCAAGTTGATTTTAAAATTAGTTTTTGTGGAATTATCTCCTAAAATCAATATCATGTTGTTTATTAAATTTTTATTTGTCTATAAGTTATTTTTTAAAATAATTTATATAAATAATTCTAATTTTCTGCAATTAATTAACGTAAAGAATTTAAGAGAAATTTAAAAAAAATTAATTTTCCTCTGCCTAAAAAAGGACTAAGTATTTAAACCCTTTCGAAAATTGAATGTTTTTATTATATGTGATGCAACTCGAATGAACTATTTTTGTATGTTCGTAGGAGTAAAGTGTGTTATGAAAAAAAAAAATTCTCAAAGGCCAAACATTTAAATTTATAAAGTTCAAAGACTTTTTCATCATTCTTAAAACATATATTTATTTTAAAAAAAGGGCAAATTCTCTTAAAAAACATAAAATTTGCGAAATTAAAATGTTTTTATGATAAAAGGAATATAATTTCTTTTCTATATTTATTTTTATAATTTATTTTAATAGAAGTTAAAAATTAAAAATTTTTCTACTCACTTGACTCTTTGGCTCCTTTTCGAAAAGCGTCGTATAGAGTTTTTGTGTCTTCATGAATGTAACTGACGAATTTACCTTGCTTGCTATCCTTGTAGAATTTTGAAACCCTAATCAGCTCAGCACCCTGAAAATCGTTGCTCATTTCAAAAACTAATTTTTATTAAAATAAAAAACACTTTTTTTTTGTTTAAATTTTTATCACACATTTTTAAATTCACTCACAAGTTTTATTTCCCCCCCCCCCCAAACAAAATTTGTTTTCAAACCATATTTCACATTAAAAATTAATTTAAACACAAAAACAAATAATTTTTCTACAAAATTAAATAATAAATTTTTTTTCCCCTCTAAATGAATTTAATTTTGAATTTCGAATGTTAAAAAAATAATTAAATTTAAAAATTCCATTTTCTAATGAAAATAAATACAATTGAAGAAGCCCTTAAGATCAATCAATATAAATACGGTCAGTGGTCTTTTTTTTTTGCAAAAATAAAAGAATAGATTGAAAAAATGGTAAAAAAAATTTACGAGGTTCAATTTACAAATAGAGTTTATAAATACAAAATTTGTACATAATCAGGTATTTATAAAAATTTAATTTTCCAGAAATATTTTTAAAAAATGTTTTTAAACGAATTTCCGTGTTTTTTTTTAAATATAAAGTGGAAATTTAATTGGACCCCTGATTAATAATGTTTGTAATTTATTTTCTGTCACGGTTCCAATTTAGCATTTTCCACTTGGTTGAACGAAAAAAATGTTTTTCCTCAATTATTTATAAATTATTAAAAAGATGATGCAAATTTTTTTTTTATTTGCACTATTATTACACTAAACTTCCACTTGCTTGCACTATTAAAACAAAAAAAATTTCATTTTTGAAAAAAATTATTATTATAAATTAATTAAACACCTTAAATGTTTCTGATTGTTCGTTCATGTCAAGGGGAAGGCGTATTGGTTCGTGAAAAAAGCAACCCGGCATCGTGGATGCTTTTTTTTTTTTTTTAAAAAAAACGCACCAAAACGAATTTTTTTTTCACGCACTATTTTTTGTTTTTCCTATTTAATGAAAGCAATGAAAAATTTGGAACTTTCGTTTGTTGTTTCGCACCTTGGGACCAACACTGGTCCACTGGTGGCCTCGCACACCCGCTAATACATGAATTTCTTCGAGAGCTTTGGCTTTGGCTGAGAAATGTTGTCACGAGGTTCAAACTGAGAGACGAAGATAGGAAATGAAAAAGATAGAGAATATAGTGCCAGGAGAGAATGAATAGACACGCGCAAAGCTCATCCTCGAGACGATTCTCAAATTTAAATATAGTTTTTCCCCTGAAGAGAAAGAGATGAGTGTGTGTACAACGCGTCGTCCTCGGGCAAAACACTCGTTGGTAAATGGCCAGATATCTAGTATATAAACATTCGATCGACCGCATCGATCGATGAATCTTTGTTATCTTCTTTAGCCAAGGAATTTTTTTTTTCATTAATTAATTTTTGATAGAAACTGACTTTTTGACTTTTTTTCAATACTAAAAATCATTTTTACAATTTATTCAATTTTTATATATATAAAAAAAATTTATTCTATTCAAATAATCAGTTACTTGACTATTAACAAATAAATATTTATTTGTATGAAACAATTTTTATTTTAAACAAATATACCATTTAATTGGTTCAAATATAATAATTATTTGATACTAGAAAAAAAATATTTGATACAATTAAATATATTTATTTCATATAGAGACAATTTGCACCGTGTGGTCGTGTGGATTTAATCTTCCGAGAGGTTAAAGGCAGTGGATATATTCTGCGTCTGCGCAGAATGTTTGTTTCTGCGCAGACGCAGAATGTATCGACTGCCCTTAACCTCTCGGAAGATTAAATTTATCCACACGCGGTGAAAACGGTCTCATATAATATAGTCAAGGAACCGATTTGAAACAAATAATTTTTTCTCAGTGTATAAAAATTTTAAAAAAACAGTTCCAAAAAATTTTTTTAAATTTATCATAATTGTTATAATATTGCTATAATTTGTTCTAAATAATTATTTTTGTACCATCAACGAGAGTTTACCAAAAACGTCAAAAAAAAATGAAAAAACAAATCATGCTTGAGCAGAAAAAAAAATTAAGCATATTGACATTCACTTTTTAAAAAAAAATGTAAGTGCAATAAAAAAAGAGTTTTGACAAACAATCTATTATCGTAAAAAGTATATATTGTAAAAGAGCCTCTCGTGCTAAAATTAAACTTGTCAAAATAAAAAGCACCGCGATGTTGACTGGAAATAACACACGTGTTTAACTATAAAATCACAGATGTATTATATTTTAGTAAAAATAAAAACAAGAAAAATTTTCAAAAATCTCTTTTACAAACATTACTTTTTAAATACGAAAAAATACCATATAAAAATAAAAAAAAAATCTCCTCTTAAGTGGATGATTTTTTTTTGTTTTGATAAAATATTAAAATAAATTTTTGGGGCGAATGAATTTTCCATAAAATGGAAATTTTTAAATGTAAAAATTTCCAATTTACTTCGTTTGTCCGAATTTTTATTTGTTAAAATTCTTTTTAAAAAAAGACAAATTTCCATTTGTCCGAAATTCCAAATGACCGAATAGACAAAATCGACTCGAATTAAAAAAAAAAAAAATTAACCAATCACAATTTTTTCGATAATTTCTGATTGGTTAATTTTTGAAAATTCGCGCCAAAATCGATTGTCGATCGTTAGCAAAATTTCGGACAAATGGAAATTTAGCATTTTAAAGAATTCCGACGGAAAATTCAAATCACTTGAAATTCGATACATAAAAATTTTGTATTAAATTCCTTTTGAAAACACAGAAAATTATAAGGAATTAAAATAAGCTGCAACGCTTATTTTAATGCTTTTTTAATTTTGTGTGAAAGAAATTCTGTTAAAAATTCCAATTCTTAAAATGAAAAATTTGTATAAAAAATAATTTAATTTATTAAACTTCGAACAATATATTTATTTTTTTTTTGAGAAATTCATGCGCCCTAAAATTCTTTACCAAGCAAATGTGCAGGATATAAAATATAGAAATGCAGTTGGGTTTAAAATAATAAAAGAACCATTTTTATAAAATATTTTCTTTATTTTGTTTAATTATTATAAATTTCCAAAAAAAACAACACTAGGTTTACAAAATGAAATACGGGTTAAACATAAAATGTTGACTTTTTCCTAAGTAATAATAATAATAATAATAATAAAAATAATAATAATAATAATAATAAAAAAAATACAAACTACATAGGTACTTTGGAATGTGTTTTAAAGGAGATTTAAAAAAATAGTTTGAAAAAATTAATAAATCTTTTTAACTACTGTCAATCTGAAGCTGCTACTTGTGTTTTGAAAATGCTCTCAGAATATTTATGAGATGGCTTTGCTCACCGGAAGAAGTCTCGATTGTGAGTCAAGAGGCATCAGCGGTGTTTCCGGAATCGGTCTCGAGACGTAATACGCTGCAACTCCCGTGAGAACAAGAGCACCTGCTGCGCCTCCCAGATAAGGCAAATAGTCTTCAACGTAAGACTGTAACACTGAATTTTCATATTTATTATAAATTTTTTAAATTTTCTAAATGTAAAAATTCATTATTAAAAAAAATGATATTATGTTTTTATTTAATAATTTATGTTTATTAATTTATTATTAATTATTGTTATTATTATTATTATTTATATATTAGTAACGATAATTTTTTATTTAAATTATATTTTTTTTTAAATGATTAGACAAGCGAGACATCTAGAAAATTGCTTTAGAATCATTATATCCAGTTTGATGGCTGTTGAAGTTCTCAGTGTAATAACTTTCGATCGGTAAAGCAGATTGCGACCGATAATTCCACCCTTCCGGAAGGGATGGAAAATTGCAAAGAAAACACAACTTGTACCCTGGTTTCAGTTTATTGGCTATTTCATGGAAAAGAGAAACCTTTTTTTATTTTTATTATTTTTAACTAGAAACAAAAGGGGTAATTTAAAAAGGAAGTTATTTCTAAAAAACAATACTATCCAAATATATTATTTAATAACAATTTTATAATAATTTTCTAAAAAATTTATAATAAATAATTTTTATAATAATATTGTAATAATATTTTTTTAATAATATAATTTTAAAATTAAAATCATTTAAAAATATTTTTTTACAATTCAATTTCTAGAGTTTTTTTTTGAAATTTTTTTTTTTTTTATTATATAAATAATTTCGCATTAAAGAAAAGAACTATTTTTTTTACTATTGGAATTAATTTTAGAAAATTGTAATATAGATTTTTCTCGCCTTCATTATTGATGATATATAACATTTTGTTAAATCGGATAATACTTTTAAATATTTAATTAAAAAACGTATAAGGTCAGCGAGTATCTATTTATAAAATTTTGCCATTATATATATATATATATACATAAATAAAAAATTCATTTTGAATCTCTTTTTTTTCTTAACTTATTAATGAAATCGTGATTGAACAAAAACAGAATTAATTTTTTTTTTTCATACCACTGAAATAAATAAAAGATTTGTTATTGACCCCAAAAGTTACATAAGTTCACTGATTCCATGAAATCGGTTTTTTTTTTGTGTCTATGAAAAAAAAAGCAGAGTATCATTATTTCTAGTATGAAAAAATAAAATAAAGTCATTCCCCTTTTAATCCAATTAAAAATAGGGAGTAATGCTAAACTAACGATATATATATATATATATATATATATATATATATATATATATATATATATATATATATGTACAAGAAATTGCATGACCTACATTGAAAAATGCTTTACAACCAACTCATAATGTTTTTATTTTCATGGAATTCACCCCCTACCCCACCCCTCAATAATTATTACTTACCGCGGAATGTAATTAACCCTCAATAATTATGTCTTGATATAAAATCCATAAACCTCACATTTCTCAATAACCTTCTTCAATTAAAAAGAAAATAAATCCCCTTTCAATTAAAAAAAATAAATTTTTACATTAAATTATTATTATTTGAAAATTTCATTTTTTTTAAAGTGAAATTTTTTTTTTTCTGTTATCAACGTTTGTTGGATCAATAGCCGAAAGATTTAACAGTGAAATTTGAGAGATTTTTGACTTACATTGTATTTGAATAAATTTAAAAATGAAAGCGAGTCAAATAATAATTCAATTGTAATTTAATGTGATTTTGAAAAAATATTACTTACTTGTATAAAGATTGATAAAGCAGAAAAAAATTCTTGTTTCGGGGAAACACCACGAGATTGATATTTGGTATATGTATGTATATATACATATATATATATATATGTATGGAAGTTAAAAAATACAAGAATAACTTACTATAACTTGGGGAAGGATTGAAAAAGAAATAAAAAAAAATATATAAATAAATAAATGAAGGAAGTTTTCGACAAGAAGGTCGAAGGTTCCAAAGGCAAGGATAACACCCGAAGGTGATTTTAGGCACGAGAAGACGTCGGTCAGGGCCACGGCATGACACTCGTCGTGGACTTGTCCGCTCGCTGCAGATGTTTCCTATTCACTACTACTTGTATTCCTGCGGAGCCCTGACGTCACCTTGCGGAGAATCGATGCTGAGCGCCGCCACGGTTTAGTCTTGTCAATTTCAACCCTTAAAATGCTACTACCCTGCCGACGGTTATATTGCAATTCTACACGCAACTCTCTTTTTTTTTTTTTAATTGCATATATTTGAAAACTAAATTTTGCAGAATTTTTCATTTTTCATTTTCTGCCTTTCACCTATCATCACTAAATTATTAGAAAATATATTTAAATTATCTTGAAACATCTGAATTGTCCGAAAATATATCTAAATTATCTGAAAATATCAGAATTATCCGAAAATATTTATAAATTATCTGAGAATATCAGAATTATCCGAAAGTATCCTGAATTATCTGAATTGTCCGAAAATATATCTAAATTATCTCAAAATATCTGAATTATCCGAAAATATGAAGAAATTATCAGAGAATATCCGAATTATCCGAAAGTATCCTGAATTATCTGAATTGTCCGAAAATATATCTAAATTATCTGAAATATCCGAAAATATGTAGAAATTATCTGACAATATCAGAATTATCTGAAAGTATCCTGAATTATCTGAATTGTCCGAAAATATATCTAAATTATCTGAATTGTCCGAAAATATGTGTAAATTATCTGAGAATATCAGAATTATCCAAAAGTATCCTGAATTATCTAAATTGTCCGAAAATATGTAGAAATTATCTGGTAACATCAGAATTATCCGAAAATATGTATAAATTATCTGAGAATATCAGAATTATCCGAAAGTATCCTGAATTGTCTGAATAGTCCGAAAATATATCTAACTTATCTGGAAATATCTGAATTATCCGAAAATATGTAGAAATTATCTGGTAACATCAGAATTATCAGAAAGTATCCTGAATTATCTAAATTATCTCAAAATATCTGAATTATCCGAAAATATGTATAAATTATCTGAGAATATCAGAATTATCCGAAAGTATCCTGAATTATCCGAATTGTCCGAAAATATATCTAAATTATCTGAATTGTCCGAAAATCTATTTAAAGTATTTTAAAACATCTGAAAATGTCCGAAATTATATCTATAAATTATCTAAAAATATCTGAATTATCCGAAAAAATATATATCTAAATTATCTGAATTGTCCGAAAATCTATTAAATTTTAAAGTATTGTAAAATATCTGAAATGTCCGAAAATATATCTAAATTATTTGAAAATATTTGAATTATCCGAAAATATGTCCAAATTATCTTGTAACATCAGAATTATCCGAAAATATGTCGAAATTATCTGGTAACATCAAAATTATCCGAAAATATTCTGAATTATCCAAAAATATGTCTAAATTAACATGAAATCTCAAAAAAATAATCTTTTTTTTCGAAATTATATAAATATCCTATAAATAAATGAAATATTTATTAAATTCATGATTATTGTTTCATAAAGAAACATTTATTTTATAAGGTTTTTTTTTTTAAGATGGTAACGTTACACCTACTAATCTTGAAATTTACCCTTATGTTTCCAGACGGGGTCGTTTAACCCTCCTGAAGGTGTCATTTGTCACGTATATTCTGTTTTACAACGTTGCATGTTACCGAAGCCTCTTAAGACTTATCTGAAAGAGAAATTATTTTTTCTTTTTATTTACTCTTCTCACGAAATTATTGATTTAGAAAATAATATTGACCATTTTTTTATGAAAAAAAAAAAAATTGACAAATCAAAATAAATAAAATTTTCAGCTACCGAATTAGGAGAATTTTTATTTTTTATAAACATTTAATTTACATGGATTTTTATTTTAAAAAAACTTTAATTCTCAGGAATTTTTAATTTAGCATAATTTGTATTCAATTAAAATTTTATGTGATTCGAATTTTTAAATGATAAAAATTCCAAAATTTTTATTTGTACGAATTTTTAATTGATATATATATATATAATTTTTAAGACACAATTTTTTTTATATTTTACATAGAATGTATTTTAAAGCATACAAGTTCGATATAAATTTAAATATATTCTGAAGAATTTGAAGCCAGCATAGGAGATTCGATTCCCATAATCTGATCGCTCAGTCACTGCTATACCACAAATCAATATGCAGTAAACAGACTATTCCACGTTTATGTCCGTTTAGCTAGCATTCATACGAATTCACCTCATATGTCAGTATTCCATGCTGGAAAACTTTTGTCACCACTTCCGGTAACTGTGTAATTCTCATCAACATCAATAAATCATATAACGACCAAATAATGTACTTCAATTTTTTTTTCCAAAAATTCTACCTTTGAATTAGATGATAACTTCAACAAGGGAAAAAAAGTTTTCCTATACAAGTGAAAAAAATTCCACACAAATTAATTGTAAAGCCAAATTCGAAGTATTCCTAAATTTTTTGATTCGAAACAATTTGTTTTTTTTAATTAAAATTATTTAGGATTAAAATAAAATTTGGCTTGTATCCGAAAATATAAACTCACTGGAATATATAAATTATATTTGCCTCCTGGCAATAATTTCTTATCTCTCATGCGAAAAGTCAGACTCAAATATCAAAAAGGTATATATGTATATATATATAAAGAGAAGGGGTTCTCTCGGTCAAGTGGAATTCTGCCGATAAGAGCTTTTCAGCAACAACTTTAGTTTCGCATTTACGATTGGTGGATATATTTGAAGATCCTAAGGAATCATCCTCATCCATCAGAAAATGGCAAAAATGCCTTCAGTTACAAATTGTCTTTCGTATATTCAATTCAAACAAAAAAACTATGTCACTTATTAATGAAATACATTTAACACGAAATTGGTCATTTAAAATTCATTGTTTAACATTAATTATCATTATTTTTAGTTTATTTTGTTTATGGAAAAGTTGTTATTTTTCAATTCCAATATCAAATGTTCTTGCTAAGGCATCAATAAAAGTTGATGTTTCCCTACCAACATCATCAGTTATTATTTCACAAGAATTTTTCAATAGAAGTATAAAAAAAATACCTGATAAAAATCGTCGTAAATTACATAGATCATTGTCAAAATATATGTTGGAACTTTATAATCGTCGTCCTGATGCTGATATTGTACGTGCATTACAGCCACGACATATATCTGGACCATTATTGGAGGGTGAAAGAATTTTAGAATTTTTTATTCCTACCACTAAATCCGGTGAAGCATTAGAGGCTGCTGAATTACTTGGAATTGCTGGTATGATAATTAGAGTGAGATCATTGGACAATGATGTCAATGAAATTCAACGTTGTCGAAGAGATGACACATGGAGGGCATTTGATGTGACAAAATCAGTTTTAATGAGAAATGGAAATATTGTGAGATTATTGGTGAGAGGACAAGTGGAAATAAGATCAGGTGGTGAGGGTCCAATTTTATTATTGAATTATACAAAACCAAAGAAGAGAAAAATAAGATCTGTACTTGATGATGATCAGGATGATCATATTGTTTGGAGTGATGAAGATAACAATAATAGACGACGAAGAAGAAATAGTTGTCGAAGACGTCCATTGTATGTGGATTTTTCATTAATTGCATATGATGAATGGGTTGTTGCACCACCTGGTTATGAGGCATATCAATGTACGGGAAAATGTTTTTTTCCCCTAGCTGATCATCTTAGTCCAACGAAACATGCAATTGTGCAAACATTGGTTCATGGAGCTTTACAGAATAGTGAAAGATTTAATGGAAAACCAGTGAGTAGGGCATGTTGTGTTCCGACAAGATTGGCACCAACAAGTTTACTCTATTTGGACGAAAGTGGAACATTGACGTATCAATATGGATACGAGGATATGGTGGTCGCTGAATGTGGATGCCGTTAGCTTGTAGCAAAAATATTGGTAAAGATAATATTTCTGTAAATTCCTAATAATTAGAATTAGAAAAATTGTGTTTTGATTTTAAGGAAATATTGTATTAATAAATAAAAACACTTTTGCTTCTGGGATCGAAATTACAGTTTTTTTTTTTTTTTATTGGCATTCATTTTGCAATAGAGAGAGTTCGATTTCTTTTAATATATCACAGACTGCTTTGCAAAATTTTTCTAACTTGTTTATTTCAAAAGAAAAGGCAACCTTTGGTTTTAAAATCAGTAGAGATTTTTTTTTTTCTCGAAACAAACATGATCATCAGCTTCAAATTCCTAAGAGTCAGTTTTTAAAGCAGATAACACAAGACGATCCCTGTATATATATATATATATATGAAGAGATTTATAAATAGTCTATAAGTTGCCATTGTCAGTACTCGAGTTACAAAAATACAATCTGAATTTACAAACTCCTGAGTTCAGGATTTACAATATAACATACATATAAAATTTATGTAAAAATTGTCTCTGATAAAATATATTGTTTTTACAAAGGTAACAAGTCATTAATTGATTCACTAACTAAACACATTTGAACACATTTCGTTGTTTTTTCTATTCAAGAGGTAGGATTTTGCTGGTGAGAAAATTCTTGTACGTTTTGTTTTTCTTAATCTATGCCTGCTACCGGGTATTCTTTCGATTTTATAAATATTATGCCTCACTGTTGTTTCCGGTTGGGTTAATCTCATGCACAATGAAACTGGTCCTGAAAAATCAACATCAGTCGCTAGCTCGAGTTTTGGTTCAAGTGTCATGTGAAATTCTGCTCTACTTTGAACAAACATTGATCGAACTTTGGCACCGCCTTGAATTGAAAGTCCCGCGCCCATTTCGACTAAACTTTGTGCATTTCTATTCCAAAGACTCAATTGAATTTGTCCAGCGAGATCAAAACTCATTGCACCGTCAACATTAATTTCGGCAACAAATCCAGATGCCAGGGGAATATATTCAAAGTGTCGATGAAGATTGATTAGCGCTTGAAATGCTGGTGTTCTTTCGGATGCAGTGCCTGACCAGACGTGACCCATTAATTCACCTTGACCGGCGAAAAAGACAAAAGGTCTAATTATGACGCCAAGGACGGATATTTCCATTCCTGCAGTTGCAACTTCATCATCGGATGGCTCTTCTTTTTCATCAACGTCGGATGATACAAATCCACCAAGACCACCGGCATACATACCAAGGGAGAAAATTGTACTTGAATGGGAATCACTTTCCATGATGACATCAACAATTCCTCGTTTTAATAGACCTGAACTGATTTCCTGAACTGTTAATAGTGATCCATTGCTTCCGGTGGATTTAAGAAAGCTTCTTGTGAACGCTGTGCTTAATCCTTTTTGTGCAAGAACATCATAGTTGTAGAATTTGCTCGATTCCCTTTGCATAGCTTGTTTGAGATTTTTTAAAAATTTTTCATCTTTCTCAGCTAATTGTTCGAGACGTTGGCTAAGATATTTACGAACCTCGTAAATTGGATCGCGACTAGTGAGATATTTTACAAGATCCTGAAGCTCATTAATTGTTGGGTCATTTTCAAGAATTAGATTTAAAGCCATTGTTCTTACGGTACTGTCTCTTTTTGGTCCACCAAGTTGATAGAAAATTCTTAAAGCCGCTGATCTAACTTGTTCGGTTATTTTGGGCAATGCACCCAATGCTTGCCAAGCGACTGCACTCGTTAATTTAGTTCCATTTTGAGCAAAATTTAATAATACCGGAATTGTTAATTCACTTTCAAGATTTCGTAATGCTCGCAAAAATTTCAATTGACATTCTTCGCCAGTACAACTTTCTAATCCCAATTCTAAACTAATTCGTACTTTTTCAATAACTGATGATGCACCATGTTGTTTTGCCATAGCGGCAGCAGTTAATGCCAATGTCTCCGAAACTTTGTTATTTTGTATTGTTTCCTCAGATTTTCTTAATACATCTTTAATTATATCGGGATGAGGATTTGGTGATAGTGATAATGACCATAGATATCTTTCCGTTTCGTCGCCAATTTCGTCTTGTTTAAGAATTTTCATTGCTGCTTTATGTGCATCTGGAGTTGATACAGAACCCAAAATATCCAACAATTGTGGTCTTAATTGACGATATTTTGGACTTTTGAGCAATTTCACTAGTTCCTCAGCTGATGCTTCTCTCACTAATGATGTTAGTTTCAAAAATGCTGTCGCTGATTTTATCGTTCCCAGATTTAATGTGTCTAGGGCTTCTCGATTTTCCTGAACGATTTGTTCCACCTGCAAATGGCAAAATTGATTAATTATTCGCTAAATTATTAAATACAGATGAATCAAAGTTTTTACCGACTGTTGACAATGTAGATTTCTACCTTATCAACAATGATATGGACCCATCAAAAACTCACCGTTTGACAACCATTGTCCGGACAATTTGTCATCTCAATTTGTAGATTAATTGGCACATCTCTGAATCCTGGTTCAAGAAGAATAATAGCATTTTTCACACTATCAGTCTCAACAATTTTACCATTAATTTCGTCAATTTGACGAACAATTCTTTCAGACGAGACAAACGATCCAGTCTCGGGTCGACTAATTAATGTCATGGAATGCATTTCTTGTTCTTGTATTATAATTGGAATAAAATTTGCTGACAATTCATAGTTAGATTTTCTTGTGCTTTCAATTTTAACACCAAATGTGGGATTTGAATGGATAATTTTTTGTGGAAAATTATTCTCCTGACAGGAAATTTTTCTTTTTTCCATTGAATTTGGACTCAATGATGTGTAAATAACTTTACAATGACCTGAGGCATCGGTTTCTTCGATTTCACCATCAAATGTTGTATATTGAAAGAGACTCGCTAATCCACGTTTTAAATTTAATGATGAAACACTTTCATTTGGATCTGTGTATAGGCTTTGAATTTTTCCATTTTTCCAAACAACAAGAATTGACTTTGAAGCACTTTCGGCTAATGTTGACGAATGTTGAATAAATCCCTCTGGTTTGGGATTTTTTCGTGATTTTATCCAAAGTTGTGGCGATGTGAGCTGAAAATTATAATTTAAAATTAGTTTAGCCTATTAGAATATTTTATTTTTTTCAAACTTTTTATTAAAATCTACACTTAGAAGGGATCTGATTCTAAAATTAGTATTTAAATTTTATTTCAATTTCGTATGTTCACTTATCGTTTTTTTTTTTTATTAAATAGATGCGAAGATTGAAAACTGATAAGAATATGTTGGACAAATGTTTATGTAGGTAAATTTTTATTAATTTATAAAAGTGCAAAAAATTTTACGAGGATAAATTGAAAACTAAAAATTACTCAAACGGTGAGAATCAGTTTTGAACTGTTGAACCTAATGATTAGATATAGCATTCTGTTTTCAGAGGAAAATATCTAATCTCTTCTTTTTGAATTTCGTTTAAATCGTGGATGAAAATTAAAAATATTTCATTATATTTTCTATCTTCATTTTTTTTGATCATTTGGATTTAATTCAATGTCTGAGGTTTAAATCTGTAAATAGTTCGCTATTAATTTCAATTCAATCTTACAACCAGTTCAATCATTCATTTTCAAAATGTATTTTTTAATTTTTAAATTGTCTTCATCATTAGTTTCAATTTTTATTTATAGATTTAAATTTCTTTTGAAAGATAATTAATTCGTCATCAAAGAAACAAAAAATTTAATTTAAAGAATTGGTACAACCTTAATTTTTAAAATGATGAGGCCTGGATCCTTAGGATCCTGCCAAACTGGAATCACTTCGAGATGATCAGTCACTTGAAAACCAACATCTCCTCCAGGTCTTGGTGGTCCAGCTTCTCTAAAGAGAAGGGTTGTATTTAATTCATACCTGAATCCATGACCAAGATTCCAGCCTCTTGTGGCTCCAGCGACAGCTATAAATAGGAAGCACAAATTCCAACAGGAAATAATCATCATAATTTTCTAATTAAAAAAAAAAAAAAATAAAATAAATTGATGATTGGAAAAAAATAACTTTGAAAAACTACTAAACTAGAAAGAAGAAGAAGAAGATTATTAGACGCGAGTCGCGAGTCGACTGACAACTTCAGACAACTCTATCCGGCTTGCTTCTGCCTCTTTTGTGTGTTTGTATTCCCCAAAGTGATTCAACTATATATACAGATATGAGACCATGATGGAATGTTTTCAATGTGTGGGTGTACAGAGATAGGGGAAAAATTCATTTGTGTGAATGGACGTATTCGGGCACCGTTAATCCATGAACAGAGCTAGCCCATGTTACACGATACAAAAACACTATACGTATGACATAGACCTTGAATATATATATATATATATATATATATATATATATATATATATATTATTGTATTCACTTTTCAAAAATCAGTGGTCATTGACATAAATACCATTCATTTTATAAATCACAGTGATTTATTTTTAATTCTTTTAAATATTTTTTTTTTATTAAAAATATTAAATAAATACTAAAATAATAATTAATAACTTTTGATTCTAATAATTTAATGGAATTTTAATTGAATTCATATTGTTTCTTCAATTTGAAAATTTTAAAAAAACACTGTTTTATATATATATAGAAACTTTTAAAAACATTTTCTGTAAAGTTTAATAACAAAAGGAAAAAATTTCTTTTTCTATACGAGACGAAAAAAAAAAATGTTATCTCAACTTCTTATGGGACAGACTTGAATATAAAGAATAAAATTCAACGAAGCAAAAATTTTTGCTCGCAGAAATAACAGGAAACATATAACGCATTAACTGAAACACGTGCTTTATTTATAATATACTTTTTGTATTGTTTATCAAAGTTATGTAAATTTATATCTCTGAAATGGAAATTATTTTTATTTAATTAAAATACATTATATTAACTTTAAATAAGCTCTTAAATAAATAAATAAATAAATTATATGGAGAAAAAAAAAGAAAAATTAAGATGCAAATATTTTGGAGATTTTACCCATCGGGTAACTGGGAGAAAATATTATATCTATATATATTTGTGAGATAGAAAAGATTCTTTTTGGGGTCCATAAGAATGTTTAGAATCCATAAGATTTGAATCTCATAATCTTTGTACATATATCTCTTTCTTTCGACGAAAATGATAAGATTTCAAAACAAAGAAAGATTATTACAAAAAAAAATTTTAATACAAAAAAAGAAATTAAAATTAAATTTTCAAATTTATTTAATTTTTTCAAAAATTTTGGAAAATTTTGAAAATTCTTTAAATTATTACCTGGAGCCATCTGACAGTATGAACCTGTAAAAATTTATTAAAAATTAAAAATTACTAAACTCAACAAAAACAATTATAATAAATAAATACAGGGTTTAATATAATAAAAAAAAAGTAAATAAGTTATAATAATTCAATATTTTTTTTCTAATTTTCCACAAAAGCGACTGTTATATTTGAATTTTCATTTATATTTTTAGATTTTCTTGAAACTCATTTCATTTTGCATTTATTTCCATAAGGAAATGTTTCATTTTTATTTCGCGATAAACGTTTTTAAGTAACTAAAATTATTAACTTTCAAAAAAAAAAATTTTTTTTTTTACATTTTTTACTTTCAATTATTATTTTAATTAAATTTTATAATTTTAACATATTTTTTTTTTCGAAAAAAAAAATTCTAATTTCAATTGAAAAAAAATTTTTTGTTTCAAATTCTCGAAATATTAAAAAATAATTTCCTTATCGAAAATTTTCTTAAATATTTGAAAATTTTTATGTAAAGAATTTGCAAAAAGAAATGTTTTTTTTTAAAAAAAGTTATAAGAAAACACAAATAGACAATTTGTATTTGAAAGAAAGAAAATTTTATTTGATGAAAAAAACTTTTTGCACTAAAAAATTTATTTTCATATTGTTTTGAAAAATTGCAATTTGATTATGAATGAAGAAAGATGATAAATCTTTTTTTTATAAAAATTTTTATTATTTTGTTTATTATTTATAAAAATAGAAAAAAAAACAGTGGATGAACATTTCCGGTATTGCCGCGGAAACTCACCGAAGAGTATCAGAAGAATGAGGACGTAAATTGTGAATTTGAATAATTTTCTGGCCAAATAGGCCATCTTCCTCGATGACGTCCCTTCGTCACGAGCAACGACCTCCTCTCGCGCTTCCGATCCTGAACTGTCAAGTTTCTATTACGATTATCGTTCTGTCTCGTGTTCTCCAACTCCTTCCCACTTCTGCGAGTAAATATACGAATAATTAGAGACAAGGCAAGCAAGAGCGCGTTATCGGAACCCCGCGTGCTTTTTCCTCTCAGAGATTTGCCCCCCTCCCCACCCCAAAATGATGAAGAAGAAAAAAATAAAATAAAAAATAAAATAAACCACAAACATCGCGGATATCGTGACAAAATCATTCTGACATTCCTATGGCAACCATAATACCGATCAGGTTTCAAGATCTTGCTTTCTGCCACTAGAAAAAAAGAAGAGGCTCACGAAAGGCGGAAGAAGCTAACATTAGATAATTTTTTTTTTTTGTTATGATTGATGAGACGTTCTGTTTGGAAATTGAAACAGGCAAATATTGAAATTTTTTTTTCAATTAATTAATTTTCAGTAAATATATAATATTTTATAATAAAAATTTTATAATTAAAAAAAAATTGTCAATAATTATTATTATTCAAACAAATTTTTTTTTTAAATTATAATTTAAGAATTATTATTTGGTTTGATGATAGGAAATTATATGAGAGTGTGTAAACAATGGATTTTTTTTTATCACACTGCGTTGCATTTTTCTTTCAATAATTAACACTATAATGCAACTTACATTATCATCTTTCACTCCCCTATTTAAAGAGCCTATCATTCAAAAAAGTTTCCTTTTTTTTGTTTTTTCTAAACTACATATAGAATGAAAATTAAATAAATTGTTTTTTAACTATTTCTATTATTTAATTTCAAACATCTTCTATAAAATTATCATATATAAATATATATAAATGTAAAATCATTATCAATTAATGTGACCTTTGACATTCAATTTTATCACATTCAACGTACATTTAGATTATTTTAATTTCTATTTCTTAATAAATGATAAAAATTTTCCAAAATCCGCTATAATTTTTTTTTTTACATACGTTTTCTTCAGTTAATTTTGAAAATTTATATAAAACTTTTTATACTTTTAATAAGATTTATTTTTAAATTAAAAATAACAATTTGTTATTAATTTTTATTAATTATTGTTTATTTAATTTTACAATATTATCGTCAATTATTTATTTACATTCTTATACGATATCGTAAAACATGTTTCGTAGAACATTGAATCAAGTTGAGAGTTATATTTTTCGTACGAGCGGACGTAAATAATTACGTTAATCACATATATAGGGCAATTCTCAACTCGTTGGATTAACATCTTCAAAATGTTATTCCAAAAATAAAACGAGAAATTTTTTTTTTTTCTAAACAACTATATTCTTTTATTTTAATAAAAATTTATTATTAAAACTAATAATACTACGTAATTATATTATTAGATTGCCAAGAATTAATTATATATATGTAAATAAAAAAAAACCGAAAATCTTAATTATTAATTTTAACCATTTATTTTAATAAATTACAGCAATAATTAATTTTCATAAAATTATAAATTAATTAATCTTAATAATCGATTAGTAATTAAAACAAAATAAAATACAGATTCTCGAAATTAGAAGAGAAATTTATTTTTCTATTTTTAAAAGATTCAAAATTTTAATTAATGTGAAATTATATATATTTTAATATAAATCTATTTCATAATTTCCCGCCTTTTAATGCAGAAGATTTCCCGCGCATTAAGGCGGGGGATCACCTAAAGCCCAGTTCATAGACAAAAAAAAATGTTTAGCGGGTTGCTGTCTGCTATTCCTATGCGGCAAATCGATCTGTCAAACTGGTTCAAACAATTTTTTATTTTTTTGTAATATTTACAGTTGTTTTTATTTTTTTTTCGAAAAATATTTTAGACATCTATCAAGATGGACGAATTTCCTGATCCAGATGAAGAATTTGATTTAGCACACGAAGATGATTTTGAATTATTAAGAGAATTAGAAGAATTTGGAGGTTAGTTGTTGTTTTATTTAAAAAAAAAAATAATAATAATAATAATTCATAGTTAAATTATTAATAATTATTTTTCAATGTATTATTAAATAAAAATATTAAATTCTTGAAGAAAAATATCTCATTCATGTGTCTTACAACATAACCTCGAATTTGATGATAAATTTTTGAAAAATTTTATATAAAAACAACCCACACAGTACTTAAATTTTTTATCAATATTCTCAACATTGCCTTAATATTCTAAAATTGCAGAAATAATTTCATTATGGTGACAATAATAAATGAAATTTTATGTGCAGTGGGGGAAATTTTTTAAAAATATTTTTATTCGTTTATTAATTGTAAATTTAAAAATTAATACAAAAATCTTATTTTTAGAACCTCCAGTTAAAAAAATATCAAATAAGCCTTCTGAACAACCAAAGACATTAGTTACATCAACACAAATTCATCATCAACAATCATCAAAAAATGTGTCTGAAATTCAAAAAAACACTTCTAATTTACCAATGGCAAATGGTTTATCTCAAAATAATTCTCAACTTTTCGACTCAATTCCATTTAGTGAATTTACACAAGAAACACAAACGAATCACAAACAGGATTTATCCAAAAAAATAAATAATGTTTCTGACTCTAGAGCTCTTGAGAGTAGATGTCGTAGTGAAATTAAAAAAATGGACAAGAAACAAAAGCGAACAGTTGATGAATTATTAGAAGACGTTAGCGCTCTTCTTAGTGGTGAAAATCTGGAAAATTCCTATTTATTTGAACCAGGTATGTTGGATTCTTATAAAGAAATTTCCAATAGAGAATAAAATCTTATTGTACCTGAATAATGATAAATTTTTTCTTTTAGAACTAATTGAACAAGAAAATAAGAGACCTCGTTGGACCGATTATGAAGAAGTAAGAAAATTAATTTTACAAGAGAGGAAATTATATAACTCTCGTGATACAACTGGATTGTCAAATAATAATCGTCCTGCTCAACGGTAATGTTAATCTAAAAAAAATAATTTTAATAACAATTTTCCAAATGATTTAATAAATTCTCATTATTCTTTTAGTTTGAGTCCTAAGAAAGGTACAATATCAACAACAATTCCACCATGGAATTTTGTAAAAATTACACGAAATAAAGATGGTAAATCTTTATATGTGAAAGTTAAAAAAGATGAAAAACAAAGTGTTTCTAAAACTCGTCTGACATCAAATTTACTTTCCGTTTCTTATAATCAATTGGCAGCTGAAGCATCAGAAATTGTAAGAATTAAATTTTCTATTATATATTTGAATTATTTCTAATATTATTTTTTTTTAAACAGATAGCTAAGAACATCGAACGTGCGAGTCTTCATCAACAAATACAAATTGATGATGAAATTATTGATGATGCATTGTGGGTTGATAAATATAAACCAAAAAAATATATGGAACTACTTTCAGATGAAGATATCAATAGAAGATTTCTTCATTGGTTAAAACTTTGGGATAAAATTGTTTTTAATCGAGAGCCAAAAAAAATTAAAAAACCTATACATCACGATATGAATAAGAAATTTGGTAGAAAAAATTTTAATAATCAAGAAATTGTTGAGGAATTTGATAGTAAAGGTTATCCTTTTTATCGAATTGTTTTACTTAGTGGACCACCAGGTTTGGGAAAAACAACATTAGCCCATATATCAGCAAAACATGCTGGATACAATGTTATTGAAATGAACGCGAGCAATGACAGAGAACCAAGTGCTTTTAGGTAAAAAAAAAATTTTGTTTTTATTGCAAAAGAAAATAGAAGCAAAAAAAGTTTTTTTTTTTTAATCTTTCCTTTTATAGAGAAGCTCTTCTTTCGTCAACACAAATGCAAGCTGTAATTGGTGCTAATCCGCGACCAAATTGTCTTATTTTAGATGAAATTGATGGAGCACCAAGTGCATCAATTGATCTTCTTATTAAATTCATTCAAGGGAAATTAGTGCAAAAAGGAAAGAAAAGCAAGCAGACAATTGAAAAAATGAAACTTGGTTGCCAGCGACCAGTTATATGTATTTGTAATGATTTATACGCTCCTGCATTAAGGTAATTACTATTCTTTTTTTGATAGAAAAATAAAACTCAAAAACTGTTAAATCCCAAAATTAAAATCATTCAGATAAATTCGTTTTTTATAGCATTAGTCTTAATTCTTTTTTTTCAGACAATTGAAAGCAATGGCATTAGTTATTCCCGTTCCAGCAATTGAGCCAAAAAGATTGGCGGATAGATTAATGGAAATATCACGAAAGGAACATTTAAAAGTTGAATATACTCATTTAATTAAATTATCTGAGAGATCAGGTTGCGATATTCGAACATGTCTTGGTGCTTTACAATACATGCGAGGTTCAAATATTAAAGAAAATTTAAGTCTTGGACTTAAAGACACGCGAAAGGGACTTTTTGATTCATGGAAAACTTTACTTCAAGTGCCAAGTACTCAAAAAGGTTTTCTCACACCAAAAGAAAGAATAGGACTCGTTTTAAAAACAGTGACTCAAGGTATATTGAATTAAAAATTTTTTGATACAATTTTTTATTGAGGCATTTAAATTTTCTACTTTTTATGATTGGTGCATTTAAGGTGACAGCGAACGCTTATGTCAAGGAATTTTTCATAATTATCCAATGATTTGTAAGGAAAAATTGGAACCTGTAGCAAGATCTTTAGAGTGGTTTGAATTTTTTGATGAAGTTACAAAAATGATTTCTGCCCGACAAATTTGGACTGTGATGCCATATACAAATTATGCTTTTGTCATTTGGCATTTTGATTTAGCCAATCAACAAAATTCAAAACTCTCATATCCAACGACAGTAAATGAGGTGAGTATTTTCATTAACGGTTAATTAGGAAAATATTTAAATTTTAATTTACTATGTTAGGCTATTAAACCTCATCGATATAATTATTTTCTGAATTATCATGAGCTCCAACCATTGAGTTCTAATGGGATCTAATAGATGTCGCATTGCCGGTAAAGTCAAAAATTATATCTTAATTTAAAATTAAATTTAATTATAAAATAGTTGTTTGAAATTTAAAGTTTTCTTTACAAAAAAAAATTCAAAAATGAAATACAACGAAAGGAATGCACAAAAATCAATTAATTAAATCAAAGTTACAAAGGGAAGACTCGAATAAATTGTTTGTTGGGCGCCAGTCCTTTCTTGGGATAAAAATAAATAAATAATTAAGGGGGCAGAAGAATTAAATTGATTAAATAGATTAAATGAATTTTTCCTTAATCGTTGAATTAGTCTAGAAAATACACAAGGCCACCAGGCAAACTATTTTAGAGACTGTTAAATTCGACAATTAAATCAAAATTATTCTTGATTGTCAAATTAGTCTGAAGAGTAGACACGGTCACCAGGTTTTTACTCAAAGACTGTCAAATTCAATAATCAAGGGAAACTCAAAGCAAAGAAATGATTCAAAATTCAAATTAAATTAGTCTTCCTTTTACTCGGCCTGCCGCAGTCCCAATTCTTGGTAAAATAAAATTTTACCAGAGAATTCCAAGATTAATAAAATCAAAATGGTTGTTGGCAACGAATTTCCAATAGAGATTTCCAAACAATTCCTTGTTCTTATTAAATTAATTTCCTTCTTTATTAATTACATTATATTTCTTTTTTAAAATGATTTATTATATATTTTCTCCAATTATTATATTTAGATTCCAAAATTAAATAAAATTAAATGATAGAAATAAAAAGCGTCTATCTTATACGAAATCACATTAAAGAATGAATAAAGAAGACGTTTTTTGTTTCCTCCTAGGAGATTTTTCGTTGCCAACCAAAAAAAAATGAATATCTAAAAAGAAAAAATAAAAAGATCGGGACAAAAAAATTAATTCGACGATCGGTAAAAAAGTTTTCTCATGAAAACTGATTGGTTCACATTAAAAAGGTGCAAAAATTCAAATTTGATAAAAACAAATCTTCATAAAATTAATTTTGTTTTCTTGAATAAAATAATATTACTTCTTCTTGATTAACGATTTTAATACGTTAATCCGACGAAAGATGGTAAATCATTAATTCTTCTCCAATTTAAATATTAATGAATTCGGAATTAATATTGAAATTTACAAAGATAATGCAACACTCAAGTAAAAATTTTCAAACTTCAAATTGACATAAATCCAAAACATCAAATATATCATATGGGCTTTAGCTAATCCGCAGCAATAGAAGTTTTAAATGGTAATTTAAAAATATAAAAAAGCTTTCCAAAAATCATGTGTTTCGCCAGGAAACGAAGTCAATGATATTCTCAGGGTGATATTTGCATAAAACGTGAAAATACTTGACATCTCTTAATTATCCAATTAATAGGTACATCGGAAGTGAATATTCAAGAATCCAAATTTAATAATAAAATATATCCAAATTTTCGATAATAAACTTCAAAAATATCCAATTATTGTTGACATCAAAATTGAGGTTACGTTGACCAATATCCAATATAATCAATTTTTCTCAAAGTTTTCTTAAATCTTGATATTTTTCTTAATTTCTTGTTTCAGTTGAATGTTGGCTCGAAAATACATAAATAACAAGGGATTACAGATATTAATTCTTAATATTAAATTATTATTAAATAAAATTTTTCCACTTCTCGAATCTATAATGTGATTACGTCTCGTAAATTTTTGATATTGAAATAACTTTTTCGCGAATAATAAACAAAGTGATTTAATATATTGAAAAATAAATAAACCTTTGTGATTTGTAAAATTGTAAATTTCACAACGTCACAATATAAAACAAAACAATTTTTTGCTTGTTTCTAATTTTTAAGAAATTCCACTTTTTTAGACTCGATATAAAACAAAACATTTTTTTGCCTGTTTTTTAATTGTTAAGAAATTCCACTTTTTTAGACTCGATATAAAACAAAACATTTTTTATCTGTTTTTTAATTGTTAAGAAATTCTTCTTTTTTAGACTCGATATAAAACAAAACATTTTTTGCCTGTTTCTAATTTTTAAGAAATTCCACTTTTTTAGACTCGATATAAAACAAAACTTTTTTTTGCCTGTTTTTTAATTGTTAAGAAATTCTTCTTTTTTAGACTCGATATAAATCAAAACATTTTTTCCCTGTTTCTAATTTTACCGCTCCTTTGCTATCTTGTATTCACCAAATGCATACTGATAAATTAGAGTACTTAATGTTATAGTTAGATCCCAAGATTGCTGAAATCTGTGAATTTGATTCTACGACCTACAGACCTTTCTTGCCACACTTTAAATCCATAGATCCATATTTCAGTAATTGTTAGATCCAAATTTTTCAAGATAATTTTGTTCAATGATTTAAACAAAAAAATGATAGATTTAGGGATTTAATAACTATTGGTGTAGAGAAGGATTGGAAAAAAAATGATATAGATTGCTAATGTCATCGTTGAACCTTTTCTCCATTTTCGAGTGACATTATATAAACCTTTATCAGACAACATAAGCGAGAGTGGAGAGGCAGTACGCTAAATAATCATAACTCACAGAGACATTTGTAACCCCAGAGTCTCGCACGTATTTATCGCTGTTGTTGGACGGTTTGTTGCTGCAATAACGGTAATGGGCTTCCTCCCACGCAGTGGAGGCGCATCATCCCCCTTTTCCTCCTCTGGCTAACTTCTGCCAGGCGATTTATCCTTGGGTAATTAGCAAGGGTAATAATTAATGTGGCCGCGCATTGTGCTAATTATCAGTGGGAGAACCTTTTAAGAAATGAAAGAACATTCGAAATAAAACAAAGCCGAGTTGAGTTTAACCGAGAGGAGAGGAGAGGCTCGACTACTGTTTGCGATGCGCTTGCCGTATCACAGATACATACGATTGCACCCAACTAATACTTATGAATACGTACAGGTGGTATGGGAGAATGTATAAACTTGTATATATACATAAAGAGAGAGAGAGAGACGACAGCCAGCGAAGCCAAGCAGCAATCCATCAGGGTGCTTTTGTCGCCCTAATGAGAGCTTGCATTATTCAGCTTAGAGAACTCCCTCCCTTCGTTTCCGCTACGGCACTGCCAACCTCCTCTTTTTCTCAAGCAATTTAAGAGTTGTTTCACTCTTAACGTCCCTTGGACGTCTGATTTCACGAAACACTAAACGCTTTTTCATTAGAGATTTTTCAATGGCCGCTTGGTTACTTGCTCTGCTCTCTTACTCTCTTGCTGTTTCTTCTTTTAGCTCGATTATAATGCAAACCCTTTTTAGATTATATACTCTCAGCAACCTCAAAAATTTCTCCAGTCCGGATTTTTATTAGGGAACCAAAATTGTGAGTATTATTTATCTCCCTTTCAGCAATATTATAATTTATGTACTTAATTGTCTAAGTTTGAAAATTCTATTAATAATTTTCTGATATCAGACCTATTCGTTGAACCAGAGTCTAAGAATTAGACAAACTGAACTTATATTATTTTTGGTTGTTGGACCTCAGGATAACAGCAAGTGCCGGAGTTTGAATTGTTCAAAATTTATTTAATTCTCGCACAAAAAGTAGATTATTAGGTCCCTTAATGTTCATTTTATATATGAATGATATTAAGCAAATATTCAGGCACTCCTCGTTCTTACTTTACGCTGACGACCTCAAGTGTTATAAAGTGATTCATTCGTCTACCTTTCAAAAAGATATTTTGAAGTTACAAAAAGACTTAAAAAGACTCCAAAAATGGTGTGTTAAAAATCATTTAAGTATAAACATTAAAAAGAGTTTTGTTGTAACCTTTTCGAAAGGTAGTGTAAATTTATATTTAAACAACTACACTATTGATGGTCATATTTTGGAGAGAGTAGAGAGGGTGCGTGATTTGGGTGTTGTATTTAATAGTAATTTAGTATTTAATGATCATATTACTGAGACTGTTTCAGAAGCCTCTAAAGTCTTGGGTTTAATAATGAGATGTGCCTCTGTTTTTCATAACATGTTAACCATCAGGACTTTGTACTTGACGCTTGTCAGAACAATTATAGAATATGCATGTATCATTTGGGCACCTTTCTACGTCTTCCATATAATCAGAATTGAACGTGTTCAGAACAAATTTCTTAGATTTGCTGCGAGATTACTCAATATCCCCTTTGACTTGTATACACATGATTACAGGGAACTTAGATTGGTATTAAATATACCATTGTTAAATTCACGGTTCTACTTTGCAGATATGGCTTTTTTGTATAGACTTATGAATGGAGCTATCTTTTGTCCTTCACTTCTCTCTATGATAAATTTATCAGTGCCCAGAATGTTTTCTAGGCGATATACATTGTTTTCGGTGGCATTTCACAGAACTAATTATGGTAATAACTCATTGATTGCTAGACTCAGCAGAGAGGCAAACATGATTTCAAACGACATTAATTTCTTTGATAATAATGTCACACGATTCACATCATCATTACGTAATATCTTGCTAAACGAAAACTAAAATATCTTTTCTTAAGTGGCTACCTAGATTTAGTAAAATATAGTATTGTAATTAATATTAATACAAAGTGACTAATTATCTCTTCTTTTAAACAAAAAATCGTGACATTTCTGATTTATTTTGCCCCTCTTTTAGAATTCAATGAATGAGACTTTAAGAAACTATCAGAGATGAAAAACTGTACAAAAAAAAAACCCCCATTAAATAGCCTCAAGTTTTCGATTTCAAGAGCAAACATCGTTGCTGAAGATGTTATATAAATGGACCTTTCCACTGTGACACTAAACGGCCACTTTCGCGGGAACATATATTACGTTCATACTGTGTAAAGCTCATTTTCCCTGAGATAATTTGTACCTTGATACAAAAAACCTGGGTTTTTGTCATGGAAATGGGTTTCATACAAATTCTTTTCAAACTTTTCTCTTTCTATATATTTTTTTTTTACATCGTGTTGGTATAAGTCGATAAGACTTGGCGAAACGACTTATATTTTCAGTGTATACTCTTTCTCACACATCTTTCTTTTTTTTTTTTTAACAAAAAAATTTTCTTTTACATAAAAAATTTCGTATTTTTTTGTTATTTTAGATGAATCAAAAATTGATGAGAAATAAAACAATTTTAACAATGTCACAAAAATCATGCGGAATCGATAAATTAACATTGACTCTCGATATTGCACCATTGTTACCTGAGCTTTTAACACCGCGCTTGAGATCAGTTTCTGCTCATCTTTATTCGTGGAAGGAAAAAGCAGAGTTGATGCATTTAGTGAACGTCATGTTGGATTATGGACTTACTCTCATTCAAGAGAAGAAACCAGAAGGAGGATTTGAATATAATCTCGAACCGTAAGTTTTTGAAATTTATTTTAACCGGAAATTACCGAGTCATTTATCTTTCAAATTCTTTTATTATTAAAAAAAAAAAAAAAAAAAAAAAAAAAAAAAAAAAAAAAAAAAATATGTATATATATGAAATGAATTTTCTTAAAAGAGTATAAATCCTCTTTTAAAGTAAAATAAATCCTTCTCAAGTTATATAAATCTCTTTGAAAATATAATAATCTTTTTTCGAATAATAAAATCTTTTTGAAATAATATTTCTATATAAAATGATATGAAATAATAAATTTTTTGCTATATAATAATCTATTTCTGATAAAATAAGTATTTTTTTGAAAAAGCTTCAAAAGTTTTTCGTAATGGAAAATTTGGAATATTTATTTCATTACAAAGAAAGTTGATATATTTTTTTGTATTTTTATATTATTTTTAAATTATTTTCATTAGTACTTTAATTATACTATTATTTTAGTGATCTTTTGCAGATTGGCATTTTTCCCGATTGTAAATTTAGACGTGGTCTTTCTTATGCTGTGAAACAAATTGTTATTCAGGAATTAGAAGTTGAACGTGTAAAACGTGCGGCTGCTTTACTTAATACTTCAAGTAATAAACAAGTAGTTGAAAAACAAATGGAAGTGCAAAATTTGGAGACATCTAATGAAAAGGAAGGTGAATCGACAAGTGCAATACCAAATCATATGAAGCAGACACTTGAGTCAGTTGCAGTAAAATCTACTAAAGGGGTAAGATTTTATTGTTTACGATTAAAAAAAATTTATTTAAATTCCAAAGCGAAGCCTTATGACAATAGGAACACGGAATAATGCTTCGTCAATTATTTGTAAGAATTTTAATTCATTGTCATGCAAAATCTTGGCCACAATCAACGGAAGCAATTTTTTTTTTAAAACTTGTGTTTTACAAAAAACAAGAAAAATCGGAGACGAAAGAAGAATTCCAAGATTGTATAGCGCTGGCGCGAAAAAGGTTTCTCAAGCAAGAAGGTGAATTTTAGGGCGAAATAGAGTAAGAGTGGGGCATTCGAAAGGCGGACGAGCCGCTACATCCGCAAAGCTATTATAACCGCTCGAGCGAATCTCTATTAAAACGTGTTTACACTGGCTTAGGGGTTGACTCAAGCAACCCCACCCTAGTACCAGTTCAGCCAACTCCGAACGTCGCGCCACCCCTGTATGCTTGTACCTTCCAGTATATATACATACTGGAGTAATGCCTATCTAATTGTCGCGTGTATGAATAGTGAATCCCAGAGTACTTGGGGCTATGAGAGCCCCGATCCAAGCTAACACAAGGGGAGAGCCATATGAGCTAATCTATATTATGATGGCTCGACCTCCAGGGTGATTCTCCATACTATGCGGCGTCGAGTGATGTATGCGTGTGACTCTTCTTCATATACAACTAAGTGAAATATACATATATATATATATATATATGTCGCTTGTGTAAACCAGGGTGTGTTATTGCCTGATGTTCGTGCGAGGGTTCATCTTCTGAATGTAGTTATCGTACCCGCGTTAACGAAGAAAACGATCCTGAGCTTTGACACTCTTTTTTTCCATTAGTTCGATCAATTTGCTTCTTATTGGGAAATATAATCTAATCAACAAACCAAATGTTTAAGGTTCTTTCGTTGATGAAAATAACAGTTTTTGTTATACTGCTAGATTTCTATAATCTTACTTTTTTATTGGAAATTTTAAGTACTTCACAGTTTTCTTGGGTGTATCAAATTGATACAAGAATTAAGATCAACTCATGCAACGTTTTGATTCGATATAAGGTATCAAATTGATTCAAATATTTGAATCATTTTCAAGAAATGATCCAGAATATGGGATCATTTTTTGATACCTGAATTGGTATCAATCATAATCGACATATATGACATTTGTAAACATACAGGGTTGGGAAACAAGAGCCCAAAATATATTCGTCCAAAGCGAATTTCAATCCTACCCAACTCTGCTTTGGACGAATATATTTTGGGCTTTTGTTTCCCAACCCTGTTTCTTTACAAATGTCATATATGTCGATTATGATATTGTGTAATAGGAAATTATTAATTGCATTAAATGACAACGCATTAGAAATATTTATCAACTGTGCATTACTTAAATTTTGTTCATTTATAATAAATAAATTATTGATAATTATTTGAACTACAAAAATAATTAAAAATTTTCAAGTGTTGTGATTGTGATCTTAACTTAAATCTTATGTGATAAACATTAATAAAGGTTAGTGTATTTCATTTTATTTCGAAATAAATTTTTTATTTATTTAATTCAGGTATCAAAAAATGATCCCATATTCTGGATCATTTCTTGAAAATGATTCAAATATTTGGATCAATTTGATACCTTATATCGAATCAAAACGTTGCATTCCAAAATGATACCATCAAGTTTTCTAATTAGAAAGGTTTCTGTTTTGACTAGTTCAGTCATATAACCTCTTTAATGAGTTAGAGAAGGACAAACAATATGTCTATCCTTCGCTAACTCATTCTTCCGGTTGCGTTTGCGATTCCGGTTACGTTTCTATTCTGCTCAGGCCTTAATGGAATTAGTATGGAGAATAGATTACAGGAGACCAATGTAGTGTATACAAAAATGGGGACAATGAGATTTATATTAAATGAGATATAGGTTAAATGAAATTTAGGTCAAGATAATTTTAGATTATATGAGATTTAGAATATATGTGAGTTTTAGATTAAATGAGAATTATGTGAAGTGAAATTTAGATATATAATAAGATTTACATTAAACTATAGTTTTAGTGTAAATGTAATTTAGCCATGGAGTAGTATAAGGAAACCGAACGATGTACATTGAAAGTGGATCAAATTTTGGTAACCGCTTAGTGTCATGAAAATACGTAATGGAACACAAGCGCTCTCGTGGGAAGTATATGTAAACAGTGGGAAAAATTAGAAGTACGTTGAACATAACCTAAAAAGACATTGCTCGTTATTTTTAAAACTTTTACAATGGCTGACTGTCCAGCTGAGTTTAACACAATCAGTGGCGCTAGTGTTCCATTACGTATTTTCATCACACTAAGCGGTTACCAAAATTTGGTCCACTTTCAATGTACGTCGTTCGGTCTCCTTATACTACTCCATGGATTTAGTTAAAGTGAGTTTTAGATTAAATCAAATATAAGTTAAATGAGATTTAGATTAAATGAAAATAATGTCAAATGTGTTTTAGATCAAATGTGAATTAGATATGTTAGTTTTAGATTCCATGAGAATTATGTCATATGAGATTTGGGGAAAACTCGCATGCATCTCCAACTAAAAGAGTTCGTTTTCACCGTGTGGTAAAATTTAATCCTCCAAGAGGTTAAAGGCAGTAGATATATTCTGCGTCTGCGCAAAATATTTGTATACAGCTTCTGCGCAGACGCAGAATATATCTATACTGCTTTTAACCTGTCGAAGGATTGAATTTATACTCTCTAAATCTGAATTAGTAAAAATATTTACTAATTTGAATTAGTGACTCACTTTTTGCTTCTGAATTAGTTAAATTTTACTAATTGTTAGTAAAAGTTACTAATAATTAGTAAAATTTTACTAATTCAGAAGCAAAAAGTGAGTCACTAATTCAAATTAGTAAACATTTTTACTAATTCAGATTTAGAGAGTACACGACCTCTTAGGAAAGAATAATCAAACAATTGCTCAATGAGTCAAATGTAAACTTAAATTGACATTGTTTTTGCAAATGCAGAGAATTTTTTTAATAAATCAAAGAACTATTTTCAAAAAGGCTAATAAAGAAGAACTGAATTTGTTCTAGATATTTTTCCTGATTAAAATATGTTTTTTTTTTTGGTTTTTGATATTATCTTATTATTATGAAGAAAAAAAAATGAAAAGCTCGCTTTTTGAAAAGGGATGTTCCTTTCGTTTAAAGTAGGTCACTGGTCCTCTTTTATGCAGCTTGTTTACCCGGGTTTGTGTATACAAACCGCCAAACTAAGCAGGTTCTTAGCTTTTGCTTCAGTTAAATGAGCTTAAAGTAGGTCGTTACTGGTTTATTATTTTATCTTTCTTATAAGCTCAAGTAAAATTCTTCTTTGTTCCACTGAAAATGTATTTTATACAAAAAAATTTAAATATTCATTAAAAATAAAATAATAGTAAAAAAAATAATAATAATGATCAATGAAAGAAAATTCAGAGGGGGATTTTAAACAATTGTTCCTGAAAAAAAAAATTCGTTGGTAAAGCGTCGTAAGCTCTGTTAATTTGTTATACGAAGGAAATGGAGAATGGACGAAGCACTTATAGAAAAAGCGGACAATAAGACCGGCAGCTTTCTGTCTTCTCCTTCTTAGATACTTCCGGTTGATGAAAGCGGGCAGTTCCCGTCTGTAGATATAAACGTCCTAATAGTGGCTACATTAGAGGGTCCTTGATAATATATATACGTTCAAGTCGGATATAGATGGCACGTGTCCATATAGACATTGAATCGTTTGTGATCATGGTGTGCGAATCTGGTAAGGAATACAACAGTTAAGTCGAGTGTATATATATTTGGGGGCAAACATAATCGTACGGGCGTCCCATGTGTACAAAAGGGGAATTTATTCAAGTGGATGGTGGTATTTTCGAAGCGTCGGGACGCCGGACGTTGCAATCTGGACGACCCGCCCACCTTTTTTTTTCATTTTATCTCATTTTTTTCAAATTGTCATCATCATTGTCTCTAAAATGATGATAATGCACATCTCTAAACTTGCAAAATCATAATTACAGTAAAAAAAAAAACCAAATTTTTGTTGAGGGGGAAAATTATTAGAAATTTTATTACTATTTATTTTAATGTAGGAGATTTGTTTTTCGTTTTCTTGATATCTGTAGGCATATTATATAATAAATCTTGGACGAAGATACGATTGGAGAATAATAGAGGATAAAAGAGGAAGTGAAGAAAGGGGCACACAAGTGCGCTGTATAGACACACATTTGGAGCCTCAACCGGAGGCGCCATTACGTCCAAGCCATCCTTTGGCCCTTCACTTACCCCTAACGATGTTCCCGACAAATAAAAGTTGATTTTTCCCTCTCGTTCTCATTCCATTACTCTCAAATACCTCCCTCGTTTTTTTTTGTTCACTTTATTTCCTCTCGCAGAAAGTCCTTTCTTTTTTTTTGACAAAAATGATTTCTTTTTAAAAAGCCTAAGTCTCATCAATAAAAATTGCTATTTCTTTTGGCAGAGCTATCGAGACTTCTTTAAACAATTCAAAGACGCAGGTCAAGCAAAAATTGACAAACATGTAAATCCAATGGAATCATCTGTTGAGGAAAATACTCCTATTAGCAAAACTCAACTGTTCAAAAAAGACGTTACATACAAATTCAAAGAAGGATACACCAATGCTGTACGTCGTACAATCAAAATGGAAGATCTTCTATGAGTAAATTTACCATTTATAGGTTTTGTATATATTTGAACTTTTTTTTTTAGTATTTAAAGAATAGATTTTTAATTTACAATACTTTATATTCTTTCTTACTACTTTTTTTTAATACTACTCCTAAAACTAGGAGTTAAGGTTTTTTTTATTCGAATTTTTCACTGCCTTATGTGCCAGAAAAAAAAAATTGGGATGATAAAACTACGAAAGAATAAATATGAATTTTATTTTTACATTATGTATTCATTTTCACTTCCACCTATATATAAGAATAATAAAAAGAAAAAGGGGAATTTTTGTTGGTTTGAGAAATCGAGATTGTGCTTAATGGTTCGCAAAACTTTTACTGCCTCTTTACGTATATAGAATGTTATTGAAAACGCACTGGTGTTATGGAACGTTTCCGGCACGTGCGGAACAAGAGAAAACTCCATACGGGGGAGTGATGACATTAAAATAATGACATGAAATAAGTTGATTTTTAAAAATCTGTATAACAAATCTTCAATGATTTTTTTTTTTTAAAGTCATTGTACATATATTTTTTTTTTTTTGATCCCTTATGTGAATCCTATCACGAAGAGATTATTAATTACCCGTCAGCGGAAGTTGCTCTTGTTCCCAAAAGCGTTTGTTGGGAGGTATAGGCACGTGTGTGTTCTCTATGGGAATACAATACATTGGTTTTGGAGTGAGTTTGCGCTTTATACATTGTATGACATATGGCAGAAGACAAGGACCGAGTTTGCAAATGTGAATGTTGTCTCGCACTGGAATATCCCTAATGGAATTATAAATTTAATACCATTCGGTGGATAGCACCTGAGTCCTGTGGCGCACCACTGTTGTAATCAGCCGTTTGTGATCAACTATCGTGCTTGCAAATGGCCCAAATCGACATTCGAATAATTGTCATGTAATCTGTTCGCAGTCTTTCCATTGTATATATATATTAGTCGTTGAAAGCTATATCCAATCATCAATTCCAATATTGAAACATTTGTAAATTTAGTTATTTCATTAAAACGCACAGCTTTTTAGAAAAGCAAAAAATATACAGAAAATAGAACATAAATGTTGAATGGACAGGTTTTTACAAAACTAAAATTTTGTTCTATATATTGAGACATCTGAGGTGAATGACAATTTTATAATTGTGAATTTTTTTTTCTTTTTTTTAGATACAACGACAACAGCGACATCCATAGGAATGTAAGTAATTTACAAAACGTCTCTCTATTTTGAATATAGCGACAACTTCAGTGGCGACCCTAGCGATTGCTGATGGAACTATTTGCTCATCTAACAAGTTTCATTTCATGTCTCGTGCTCATGCGCAACCTTCTAATGGTTACTGTTTCGCGTCTATAGTTGCGAGCACGTGTTTGCATTATAATTAATTAAAATTAATATTTAAAAAGTGAGTGTAGTTTTAAAGTGATTCAAGTGGAGGAAAAAAATTAGTGAAAGTGTGAAGTGATGATATCTTGATGCCACATCTGTTTTTATTGGTAAGTTGCTTATACTAAACATAACCTAACGTTTTCTATTTTTTAAATTGAAATCAAAAAAACTAAGAATGTCCCCAGTTGTAAACATTAAATAAATGCAAATTAGAACAAAAATGTTCAGAAATAGGTACCTAACCTTAATTGATAAAAATACTATGAGGCTGGCTACACCGAGAGCCAATCAGGAGGGTTGTTAATCCTCTGGCGCACTAAACATTCTGCGCAGACGCAAAATTTAGCCCATTTGTTTAGTGCGCCAGAGGATTAAAAACCCTCCTGATTGGCTCTCGGTGTAGCCAGCCTCTATAATCTTCTATATTTTATCGATAAAACTATTCACATTTGCTTTGAAAAATGATGAATGTTTTTTCTAATAAATTTTTTTTTTTAATTTTTAACCATTAAGTGAAGGGAAATTTTTAGTAGTTATTTTGCCTTGAAAAATGATGAATGTTTTTTCTAATAAATTTTTTTTTTTTAATTTTTAACCATTAAGTGTAGGGAAAATTTTAGTAGTTCACAAATTGGGTCGTCTTCCGCCCCACTACGACTTAAGGCCAGGTCCAAGTGAGGCAGCGCTATTTATATTGAAACTAAAATTTTTGAAAATTTCCAACAGCCTTTTCTTGAAAACAAGAAGATAAAATGTTTTTTCCTTTATGGATAATTGATTATTGGCAAGAAATACACCAGCTGAAACTTTTTTTGAGTTAAAATAATGAAAAAAATTTCTTGTCGATAAATTAAATATGAGCAGTTTTTTCACAAAAACTGTAACAATACTTTCTCGGAATTAACAATTAAGAATACAATTTCCATTTTGAAAATTAATAAATGTTAAAAAATACACCAGCTAAGATTTACCAATCACGAAAATAACAAAAAAAAAGTTTTTTAACATAACATATTTTACTAATTATGACAGCCGTTTGGCAGGTTGTATATTTCACCAGACGTTTCGCGATTTTGCCGAAAGGAGGAGATTGGCGCTGTTGCTTACCACCTGAAATACATAATCTACCAAAGGGCTGTCCAGTAAAACAGTGTCCATATGTTAAATATGTAATAAAATTTTTTGTTGTTATTTTCGTGATTGGTCAATCTTAGCTGGTGTATTGTTTAACGTTTATTAATTTTCCAAATGGAAATTGTATTCTTGATTGTTAATTCCGAGAAAGTACTGTTACAGTTTTTATGAAAAAACTGCTCATATTTAATTTATTGACATAAAATTTTTTTTCATAATTTTAACTCAAAAAAAGTTTTAGCTGGTGTATTTCTTGCTAGTAATCAATTATCCATAAAGAAAAACGCATTTTATCTTTTTGTTTTCGAGAAAAGACTGTTGAAAATTTTCCAAAATTATAGTTTTAATGTAAATGGCGCTGCCTCACTTGGACCTATGGCCTTAAGGGACAATCCGACACTTATCAAATGTTGTGTTCCCAACCACTCGACACTTATCGAGAGATTGTACTGTATTACAAATTTTGTTTAAAAAAAATTTTTTTTTTATTATTTAAACAAAATTGAAAATTTAATTGAAACAAATAACTCATATTGAATCTGTAGCATTATAAAATTATGTCTGCGACAAATGCAAAACGATATAAAATATACAGCAGATTAAAGGGCAGGCAATTTTGAATCGTATATATATAGATATAGGTATATATATGCAGAATTGAATTGAGTATAGAGTTTTAGCCGGAAAAAGAGAGCATGGTCACGACGGCTGGCCTTTTAGCGTTTACCATCACTTCCGCAAAATTTATTAAGTGATTTATTTGATGTTTTGGCCCACCCACTCGTATATATATATAGAGAGAGAGAAAGAGAGAGAGAGTATGTCGGAAATGTTATCGAACCGACACACACCCCTTTTGCGTCCGTTCCATTTTCCAACCCCCTACCATTGAAATGTCTCTCCCCCCTCCACCTATTGAGCCATCCAATATACAAGCCCCTCACTATATATATAGTCAAGCTGCCGCCAATTATTCAGCAAATGTTATAATTGGCGCATTCCATTACGCGTAATGGATCGCACTTAACGGTTACCGGTGTGATTGGGACGATGGGGATGAGGAGGGGGAGAATTGAGTAGTAAGAGGTACTAATAGTGAAGTAGCGGGTAAGCTGAGGTAAAGGGGTGAAACCAATCTCGATAATACTATCCCAGTAAAGGATACGACATCGTGTGTTAATATCGATAAATTGCTACTGGATAATTTCACCTGGAATATTAGATTCCTTTGGCAAATTTTCTCCTCTATAAGTTTTTATATCTCTCTTTTTTTTTAAGTATTAGATTTCAATTATAATCATTTCACGTTGACTGAAAATTAATTTATTAAGAAAATAATTTTTTTTTAACACAAGCGCCGAAAGTACACTATTTCTTACCTGTGTACAGAACGGAAAATATATTTTTTTAGACGAGTTTTTCAAAAATTCAATTTCTTTTTTTGAAAAAAATTCTTGGGTTATCGTTTTGTCAATATTGGCCTTTTTTTCTGTACTTTATTCACTGCGATCAAAGCAATGTCCGATACTGGCGAACGAGTCCAAAACCGTATATATATATATACCTATACACAGAGGCTCTCTAGAGCTAGGAAAACTAAATTAGTGCGCGTGTTTTCGCGCGATCCAATCCGCGGCAAATTTACCAAACCGGAGAGAATCTCATTATTTCCGTCTCTGGTTTTTGGTTCTATTCCGATCTCTCGCTCAACATCTTCTCCAATCTATTTATACTAACACAAATACTCCTATATATGTAGAGTAATGTATTTTTTTTAATTTTTATTTTAAATATTCCTCCAATATTGTGAACCTATCTTCTGCTATATATCATATATAAATCAAAATTGAGAGAAATCTTATTGTTTTTTTTTTTTTTAATAAAACGTATATGTCTAATAGGATTAAATGAAAATTTGACATAGAAAATGTCTTGTGCGCGGTAGAAACAAGAATATTCTCGCAGAATGACAGTGATTAATACTGTGATGTCATCTCGTGTCTTGCAAGCTTTTCTCCTTCATCGTTGAACGAATTTTCAAGTTCCTCCGCCTCTTCATTCCGACAGCTATTCCTTCCTTCTATTATTCTATTCGTTCATGGCGCCCTCCGCGTACGGTAAAAGGTTTTACGAAATTCATTGTCAGGCAATTTGCATTTCAAAGCTGCGCCTCCTGCTCGCGATACGATGATGCAGATCCTTTCTCTCCCTCTCTCTCTCTCACACACACACACTCAACTCTCGCTCAATCCCCACGCAAGCCTTCTTCGGGACTACGAAGAAGATAGAATTAGGAAAAATACGTGGCTACTTTGTGGCGCGACGACTTTCGTTAAAAGGTAATCATTATTTGCCTATAGAAACTTGCGCGCATCAACTTCTTTTGAAGTTAAAAGAAAAAAGTTCTTGTTTTGCAATTTTAATCCTAAATTTTTCTTAAATGCCTCGAGATACATATATAAACATCTTGAAATTGTTTATGAGAAATTTCATCCCTTTTTTTAATTTTTAACGATAATAATTAATTTTAATAATTTTTTTTTTCGCATCGAAAATAGTTTCGTTTTTTTTGCTACGCGAAAAGAAATTTGAAATATAGTTTTCCATCAGTTCTATTGAAAAATAGAAAACTATACATATATATATAAGTGAAATGGCAAATAGTTTTTTTTTTCTTCGATAAATATAAAAAGGTCTTTTCCAATATATAAGCCATTACGAAATCAGCAAATACGACCCTTGCGAATATAACCGAAAAAGCTCGAGAAACAGGATGGAAAAGATCCGCAGTGCGCATTAAAGGATTTTCAAAGATAGTGTACACTGTGAGAAAGAAAGAAAGAAAGAAAGGAGAATTTATCGACGATGTCTCGTCGTCGTAAGAGGATCAAGGGCCGCAATGATTTTCAATTTTCAAATCCACTTTTGCTCTCCTTTCTTTTCTGTTTTTCCCATTGCATTAACTTGTCACCCAGCTACTTGTTTAGCAAAAATAATAGCCGCGCATCGAATGAGAAAATCCATTGAAATTTAATAGATATTGATAGTTATTTTTATTGCGAGAAATTTTCTCTCTTTTATCACATGATTTATAAATATATATATATATATATATATATATATATATGGTATCGAGGGATTTTAATAGTATTGTTAATTGTGTATTTGAAATCAGATTTTAAAAATTGACGGTTGAATTTTTAAATAATTATTGAATTATTATTTTAAATTTGGTAAATCTATATAATAAGGCTTTTGAGATTGCTTACGAATCTAAAAAGTTTTGAAATCACGTTATTGGATGCACGATTTTGGATTTTGAAAATCTGATTTCAAATTCGTAATCATCGACTCTATATAAACCCCTGGATACCAAATTTTATATTTTTTTTAAAAATTTACCGCCATATTGGATCAGCCATTTTTTATTTTAAAAATCTGATTCGTGATCAGCGACTCGAAAAACTCTTTGACATCAAGTTTCATATAAATTCAATAATTTTTTTAAAAAGTTACGCCATATTGGATTCGCCATTTTGGATAACTTCAAATTCGTAATCAGTGATACTAAAAGTTTTAATACTTATTAATAAATTCAATTATGCAAAATTTAATAGCAAATCACAATCGCAACGATTGCATAAAAAAATACAGTCTACAGAATTTTAGTTGAAAAAATCTAATTAAATTTTAATATTTTAGCTAACAAGGAAAATTGACATTAAAGATTTGTGTGTCTAAAACAAAAAATTTAACGTGTCCCGTAACCTTTGGATTCTACTGGACATAAATGCAATTTGAAAGACATCGTTACGAGTCGATCGTCTCGTCCAAAGTGGCCTGGCGCCTGTTTTCTGCTCTCTTTAACCACTCTCAACATCTTATCCTACTCTCAATCTTCATCTTTCTCTGTCTATTCTTTAAAGTACCCCACACCATCCAGTAACGACGATCTCCGCTGGTGGAATGACGGGCGAGAGTGTCGTAAGGTCATGTCGAAATACACGCGGTGGTCCATACAGTAGTGACGGGAGAGAGAAAGAGAGAGAGAGAGAGAGAGAGAGAGAGAGAGAGAGGGAAGAGGGCGAAAGAGAGAGAGGGAGGGAGAAAGAGTGAATTTTACCCAGAGGGTGGGAGATGGAGAGGAATGGGTGGATAAACCATGATGTCGTTGATTAATACGGTTTACCAGTAAGTGTAACGGAGTGTGTAGAACTCGTCTACCTCATCCCTCCTCATCCAACTCGACCGCCGACCTCGACCCTCCTCCCCCCACCCTTTGAATTTCGCCTTATCACCCCTCCACCAAGTCAACACTCGTGGGCCAACCGGAGCCACGTGCCGATCAATGGCGTCTTGTCTCTGGTTGGTCGAGTCAGGACCAACCCCCTTGCGTCGCTCTACAACCCCAGTGAGTTGGGGTTGATCCCCCCCCCCTACATATAAGAGAGAGGGTGAGCTTTTCTTATGAGGAGCATTGATTGCCAACAACCCCCTTCTAGTGTTCTTTCTATATACATTTTCCAAACTATAGACCCTCAAGTTTCCATTTCTCCTTTCCCAAAGAAGGCTTTATTTCTTTCCTTCTCTAACTAAAAGCTTTTCCTCTCTTTTCTAACCAATCTTTATTTTTCCTTCTCCTTTCCAAGAACTATATATATATTATTTCTCGATTTGTTCCATGATTGTTCTTTATAGATATATATATAGTTACACTGCGAGTATATGTCGAAGAATGAATTACCATCTAGATCGATTTGGTTTCTGATTAGGAAATTTAGGCTAAATTCAGAAATAGGATCAAATTCGAATTTGTGGACTATTAAATTTCGTTTAATATAAAATTCATGGTAATTTAAATTTAGACAAGTTCAAATTTTATTCACTAAATCTGGAATTTGTCACTTTTGACTAATTCAACTGCACCGATTTGTTCATTAAATTAATTAGCAACCGCTTTGACTAATTTTTGATCAACAATGACTAATTGATAGCAGAAAATAAACAAGATTTATTGAAGTTTAAAAAAAATAATTCTGAAAAGAAGCCGTTGAGAAAATACAACATATTACTCTCTTAATTTGAATCAGTGAAATTTCACTGGTGAAATAGCTAGAAGTCGGTTACTGAATCATTTAGTGAAATTTTCACTGAAAATCAGTCATATATCACTGATTTCCAGTGAAAATTTTACTAAATGAATTAGTCAATCTGTTTTACCCATTACCGATAATACAGATTGACTGATTCATTTAGTGAAATTTTCACTGGAAATCAGTGATATATGACTGATTTTCAGTGAAAATTTCACTAAATGATTCAATAACCGACTTCTAGCTATTTCACCAGTGAAATTTTACTGATTCAAATTAAGAGAGTAGGAAAAAATGTCAGGGAACCCAAAAACAGAATTTTTCTCCATTTTGAAATACTTTATATTAATTTTTGAAATGAAAATCAGTGCTTAACTTAGCAACCATTGCTAAGGACAAAAATGGTCATGGAAACGGTTGCTATGGTAACTGTTACCATGGCAACCGTACGATTGTACGACAGACAGATGGACGGACTCCGAATCGAAACTATATAAGACTTTCAGGCCTGAGCCACGAAACCCTAAAGGCCTGAGCAGAATAAAAACGTAACCGGAATCGTAATCGTCAACGCAACCGGAAGAATGAGTTAAAGAAAGACAAACAATATTTTTATCCTTCTCTAACTCATTTTTACGGTTGCGTTTACGATTACGATTCCGGTTTGCATTCCTATTCTGCTCAAGCTTTAAAAATTAATACTACTTCTGAACGGTTAGAGTCGGAATAAGTATTTTATTAGTTTCATTTTAGACAGTGTTTAGAAATTTATATGGAATAGCTCATAGATATAATTGAGTCAACTTAATTTTCTTTTGTACTGCATTTGAATCTTCCAATTGTTTTGTTAGATCCAAAAAAAACATTCCGCAGAAATCTTCAAACTGTTTTACTTGAAGTATAGGTATATATATGATTATATCTGCAACGGCTATAATGCTAAAGAAAGGATTTAATAAAACACAAATTTCTTTCATCACAAGAACAAGTTTATTAGAACTACCTTTATTATTTTCTACATATATATCTAGTCATATACGTAATATACCTTTCGTTAAGTTTATTCTTGAATTATTATCAACGTTTGTCAATCAAAAAATCAATATACAGGTTTCTACAATTGCTACAATTTGACTTTTACAATTTTTTTTTTGGTTGTTCTGACCCAGAAAGAGCGGAAAATTGATTTTATGCTCTGATCCCTATATGTATATTATATATATAAGAAACTTCTAAAAAGACGCCGTACGCGTTAATCACATTCTTCTTGAAAATTGAGACATACTAAAGTCTATATATATATATATCTATATGACAACATCCTTTGGAGGGATGAAATCGCTATTGTCACGGTACAAGCAGGCACAAGCTGGTCCTCCGTGGAGTTTTGATAGAGTTCAGTTTGCTATAAATATACTTGTGCCTTTCCCGAACTAGTAAGTTCAAACGTGATCGAAATAGCGTTGATTACTTATAAAGAAAATTGAAAAAAAAAAACAAAAATCTAAAAAGAATTCTCAATATGCCAAGGCAATGAATTTTAGGGATCTTCTTTTGTTGATGATTGTATTTGATGAACAACATTTGGTAAATGATGTTCATGCCGCCTGGCAAGGCCCAATAAAGGTGGTAATAGAGGCAGAGGCAAAGGCAATGGAAGACCACCGGGAAATGCAGCGAGACCACCCAATAGTGCTGTTGCCGTTGTATGTTCTTGGGCTTTTCTTCTTAATTCAGCTAAACTTGTTGTTCGATGAAGATCACCTGAACCTGGTTTACAACATCCACAAAGTGATCCAGGCCATCCTGTTGGTGACCATGAGAGCATTTCTTGAATGGTACTTGGTCGATGATCACTTGTTGTCCACAATGATGGTGTCGCTGATGATGTTAATGACGTGGGTGTAGTGCTAATAATCTTGTTACTAAATAATGGCGGTGAAAATTGTGCAAGATGAGGCGAGAAGAATAATGACGTTGGTGGATCAACTGGCCTAAATCCAGCTGAAGGCGAACTGAAGCTCGAAGTGCTGAAACAAAAAATGATAATATGTAAAATCATAACACTCTGATGAAAATTCATTTCTATAATATAATTCTATCAAAGAGAGCTGCGAGATTAAACACTTGACTTGATATTTGATTCGCATAACGTTTATGATTCAGTGAAGTGTATACCTTGAAACTACTACTTCCGTTAAACCTGGAAAGCGTTAACCCAATTACTAGCTCGACGCTCACCCCGCGGCCTCTAGGAATAACTTTGGCTACGGCTTTGAAGCGCTTGATGATTATCTCAAATATTAATCGCAAATATTGTTTAATTAATGTAACGAGCGAACTGGCATCTTCTAGTTAATGGTCTTGGCTGCAGGTGGAGGAGCTTCTATATATATATATAGTGGGAGAGATGAAAGCTGAGGCTTCGGCAAGAAGCAAATTGCAGAAGTGAGATGCAACAAAACCCCAAAGGGGATGAAGAAGGATGGAACAAGAGGTTGAGTTGTAGTGGGAGGAATGCTTCCTCTCTCAAGGAAGGCGAAGAGGAGTTTCTCAACTGAGGTAAGCGTGATAATTAGCTGCAATTACCCGCGTATCTTGCTTATGTAACCCCTTAAAATTATACACTATTCACAAATAAATGTGTATATATACAGATTAGATTTATTTTTTATTTGTTTATCTAACAGTAAAAATATAATTCTTTTGGTTGCAAAATGAAAGCTTTGTGTTGAATTTTAAGTGTAATGTCTGAGACTATACGGTTCCGTAACGACAATCCATTAAAGTTCTTTATTTAAAATTCAATGACATTAAAGTATAGCAAGAGGCGAACGTGTGCGGCCTCAGTATGTTATATCCGTGATATAGGACTTATAAGAGGAGGTTCACTTTCTTGATACGTTGTATAAAGAGTAGACCAAAAAAGGGGGGAAGACGAGAGGGGTTTTGTACCTTCCTCTCCGTTTCAGTATGGAAAAGCTAAGGAGAACCCAAAGCTTACCCCTACTTTATACCCTTCTAACTTCACCCTCCCCCCTTCTCTCTCTCTCTCTTTCTGCTCCTCTTTTCACCCCGAACCCAGCCCAGGAGCAAACTGAATAAATGATGAGGATATATTTACGGCGAGCAGTTTTAAATAAATTACAACTGCGGAGACGGTGGAGGAGTAAGTTCTATATCTCCCACCCCCTTGTGCCCTCCTCGCGTGTTTTATCCCACCAATGAACCTCTTATATGTTTTTCCCTCGCATTCTTCTTTCTCAAGATGCAGATTTTCGAGAAAATGCCTTTTTTGAGATATCTCGTATTATAAATAAGCCATATCTGACAAAGATAAAAACACCGATTTAACAGTATATAGGGTGAGTTGAAAATGTATGTTTTGTCTTTCTAAAAAACGTGTATAAGTAATTTGGGAAATTGAAACTTTTATAGGTTAGGTACAAATTGTTTCTATAATCGTACTAGTGATTTTGTACTAAAATTGATGAGCGGGGTTTGATTTTTAAATGAGGTTTATTTTCAGAAAAAATTAGAAACGAAAATATTTTGGTAAATAACTAATCTAAAAATTTAGATGCCGATAGTGCCAGATGGTAAGTTAGAGTTCCTAATCGGTAATTTAATATATATTTATTTACTACTAGCGATGTATTCCTCGCTCGCTCGGTTATAGTTGTACTTATTGTTGTTTACTTATTGTAATTTATGTATATTATATATATATAATTTATGTTTTAAATTAATATATTATTAATATTGTATAAAAATTTATCTTAATTTTGATCAGTATCATTGAAGGATGAAATGATAATTGTTAAATATTAAATGTTTTAATTTATTATAATTATAACAACAATATTAATTATATTATATTCTAATATATTATATTATATAATAATATATTTTTTTTATCTTATATTATATCATATTATATTATATTGCTGTAAATTGACCCACAAACATATGGAGATGTTGCAAATTTTTTAGAAAAATGTTCATAATAAATCGAAAAACCTTTTAAAATATCGGTTTTTATTTTTATTAGCCAGAGTAAACCTTTATAAAGAGATTCCAATAATTCGTAAAAATTGCATAAAATTGCAAAATAATCCTTTTTTTGGGATAAAAATGCAAAATAACCCTATTTCGGGTTAAAATTAAAAAAACATGTTACAAAAAAATAGTATGTAAGATTTTCTAAAAGCATATGGCAAAGTATTTTGATTTATTTGAAAATAAGTGAAAATAGATTTTCCAAGGACGGTGTCAAGGTCACGGTGTCGCTTTTGGAAATTTGTTAACTTAATATAATAGAAGATGTTTCGTTTTAAAATAAGAAATGTTAAAATTATTACGTTAAAAACAATTGATTTCAATGACACTTAAAATTAGGCACAATATTATAGGTTCCTAACTAAAAATTTAAAAAAACAACAATAAATAATTTTAAAAAAACCATAAAAAATTGGTAAAAAATTGTTTATAAGTAACTTTTTAAAAATAGAGTAATTTTAAAGGTATATATCCAAAAAATTCGTAAAAAATTGCATAAAATTGCAAAATAACCCTTTTTTTGGGAAGAAAATGCAAAATAACCCTTTTTCGGGTTAAAATTGAAAAAACATTTTACAAAAAAAAGTATGTAAGATTTTCTAAAAGCATATGGCAAAGTATTTTGATTTATTTGAAAATAAGTGAAAATAGATTTTCCAAGGACGGTGTCGAGGTCACGGTGTCGTTGTCGCTTTTGGATATTTGTTAATGTAATATAATAGAAGAAGAAGATTAGAATTATTACTACCTAGATAGCACAAAAACTTGCGAGTACTTGCAAATTTTTGTGCTATTTGGGTAGTAATAATGCTGATAGTAAATAAATATTAAATTACCGATTAAGAACTCTAACTTACCATGTGGCGTTACCGACATCTAAATTTTTAGGTTAGAGAAGTGAAGATGAATTAAAATTACATAACACTAGCCCGGAGGTACTTACACGGAGAAAAAGGAATGGTTGGGCCAACCATAGGTATTGATAAATACGTCCCATCAATATTATATGGTTACCACAACCATATCTTTAGTTGATACAACCATAGTATGGTTGGCGCAACCAAAGGTCAGGTTGACACATCAAATTTGCAATTTTTCGTCATTTTGATGTGACAACCTAACCTTTGGTTAGGCCAACCATACTATGGTTGTATCAACTAAAGATATGGTTGTGGTAACCATATAATATTGATGGGACGTATTTATCAATACCTATGGTTGGCCCAACCATTCCTTTTCTTTCCGTGTATTTAGTGTTTATAATGAAAAGAATTAAAAAAGAAATATAGAAGAACATTGCAAAAAGAACCAAGAGAGAACAAATTTTACCCCACAAAGAATAATAATTATCACTTAATATTAGATGTAAAAATAGTTGTAAAAAAAAAAAGATGAAGGAAAATGTTTGAAATTTTTCTACTGGAATAAGTCTCAGAGAAGTTTAATGGCGTGTGTCAGACTTCCGGTCCCCAAGTCCATGACGATTTGGTTCATATAAGGTTCTTTTTTGGTGATATTTCCTAAAGACGTAAATATACACTTACATAGAATAAGAGAGAGAGAGAGAGAGAGAGAGAGAAAAATAAGTTGAATGCTCACCTCTTCTCACCGGGTGGTCCCTGCGGGATATCAACTACTGCTCTCGACGGCGGTAAGTCACGAGTGGGGTTTGGCGGTGGCGTCGCGTCGCCCGGAATCAGGGGCGGCTGAATTTGCGGTTGATGCTTTGGACTAACTGACGCCGATGTTGTACTTGGACTGCTTGGACTTTGTTTACGACTTGGACAATCGTCATCATCAATTGGACTTCTATTATCCATAACATCATTAATTGTCACTAAATTATTTGGTGAATTTGGCGCAATATTGCCATCATTATCACGTTTATTTTGTTCCTCTCTTAAACGTTCACTTTTACGCCATTTGGCACGACGATTTTGAAACCAAACCTGGAATAATAATTTTTTTTATTAAATTAATATTGAATAGAGTATTTTTTTTTATGGTGGGCTTGTTTTAAACTCTCCTTTTGTGAAACTTGATCATGTCATATTAAGGACTTTAGTCTCCCCTTTAGATCGTTTCGTACCATTTGAATGGCTTTAAATTGATAATGATCATCGTATAATAAGGTAATGATGATTATAAAGAATTTGATACTGAATTTATTAATAAAATTAATCACGAGCTTCAAAGTGCGGTTATATAATATAATTGAAAATTATAAATTATTTATTTAAATTTTGGAGTAATGAAAATATTTCAAAGGTGCAAAGTGGTAGTATTAGGGGGGGAGGAGGAGGGGTATCAACAAACGGGTAGTCATTCGACGATAATTGCATCCAGAACAAAGTAGCAAGGAGCAACGCGAAGGGTTGGTGTGCATGTTCAACGAGCCGGCAGCAACCACTGTCCTCGAGTGTATTTTAAAAAGCTCGAGTTTCTCTAACGAGGCTAACTTGACATAATGCCAACTGAAATAGACTTTATTATAACTCCAGCAGTCTCCTGGGTTTCTTTTCCTTTTTTTTTCAAAAAAAAACTCGTTCCGCTTTAACACATAACATATAATTTCCCCTCCTTTTTTCTTTTTTTGCCCAAAAATAATAAAATCAACTCTTTTACAGTAATTATTGAAAATATTTTTGAATAAAATTGATTTAATAAAATACAATTCTTTGCGGTTTTTTGAAACGTAAAACTGATGCAGAGACTGGTGGCAGACGGGAAGATATAATAATATCCTAAGGGTTGCGAAGGCGAGTAATAGCTGGGAACAAAGCCCTCATTCCCCTGGGACTAACCCCGTAGATCCCCCTTCCTCCCCCCCCCCACCCCTCTTTTCTCGACTATATTTTCCTGGTTATACTTGTATTCAAAATTTACACTGGAAATTTAATCCTTATATATATATGGTTTACTTAATGGTATTAAAAAATTTCCAAATTCTATTTAAATTAGAATTGAATTTTTTGGTTAAAGAAGGAATTATGATAAAAAAAATAATAATTGACTGGCGTTATATAGACGTGGTGTTTATAAGTAAATGCCGCACGTATAGAGTTAGGTCGTGTGACGCGTGTGAGGAGAACGTGCTTCGTCGGGGGTCTCTCCCCCCCCTTTTGCCTCTCCTCGCACCCCTTTTAGGAGCTTCTAATTGGAGTATATTTAGGAGAGAATAGCGTACACTACATAAACGCGCCTATTTGTCCATTATTCCAGATTCTCTTTGTCTTCACTAATGAAACAATGAGTCTGCGCCGTAATTGCGTCATACTTCGTGGGAGGAAGAGGGGAACTCTCTAAACCCCCCTCCCCCCTATTATGCTCTATATAACTAAAACTACATTCTCCCACTTCTTGCATATCTTACAATTTGTAAATTTATCTTTCCTCTACTTCAATTTACATTCAAATCACAATTTAAACTTTGTTTTAATTTATAACAAATAATTTCTTTTTGAGGTAAAAAAAAACAATTTTTTTTTTTTGGCAGAAGAAAAAACATATATAATTTTGAATTAAATAAATGTGTATTTATCTTACAAATAAATATTTATCTGAGAGAAAGAAATATATATTTTCTCTGCGAATGACTATATATTATAATAAGATAATGGAACTATAATGAAAATTAATATAATAATTATATATAATAAAGAGGAAGAAAGGGAAAATAATGAATTGTGGGATTTTAGTAAATGCGGCGAGAGGAATTAAAGCTGAGAATTCACACATAAAATCTGTTAATTCATATATAGGTGTGTATAGCCTTGTTTCGCCTCGTGGCGAGAGTCACCACGTGTAAAATTTTACTCTTGTGAACAGTGCCGAGTGCAGAGTAATCCCAGAGATTACCGGCTTACCATTGTCAGAAGATTACGTCAGGTTGAGGGTGTCAGCAAACCCCTTGGGGGGCATGGGCCCCTTTCCCTTTTCTGTTTTCTTTGCCTCTTATAAATATATATATATCTTTTAAGTCAAAAGGCCCCATTATATCATATTTTCATCTTGTCATTTTATATCAAAATATATATTATACTATATACTTTATAAAGTATAAGTCACATGATTGACATGAAGTCATTTGATTTGAAAATCAAAATGATTTTTTCTAATTTAAAAAAAAACTTCAATTTTTACAAAATTAATAAATTTTGTATACTCTCACCTGAACTCTAGCTTCAGTTAAATTAATCTTCATGGCCAAATCCTCACGGGTAAAAACATCTGGATAATGAGTCTTAGCAAAGGCATTTTCAAGATCCTCGAGTTGTTGAAGTGAAAATGTTGTTCTGTTTCGCCTCTGTTTTCTCCTCACGAAGGAATCTTCGCTCACACCATGAAGTGCTGGATGATAAGCCGAGTAGCTTGTGTCTGAAATTTGATAAGAAAAGAAATTTTCTGATCAGTCGCAGAATATTAAGATCAATTATAGACGATTCGAAATATCTTTTTTTTTTTGAATTAGTAGTAAAAGTCAATTTTAGTCAGACGTTTTACATATTTGGGAATAATAGGTAATAGTAGGTGGTCACTATTCGGATTTTTGGAACTTATCAAAAAAATTAATATTAGTAGGGAAAGATAGTTTTATTCAGACAGCTGGAAAAAATTTATTAATTTTCTTCAGTAGAAAATGATATTTTTAGTCAGACTAGAGTGAATACTTTTTTTCGCTTGGTATCGGTAGTAAAAGACTGGAAAAGTTGTAAATTTTTAAAAAATGTGTACCAGTAGTCACAGTCAGTATTAGTCAGACAACGATAAGAAATTTTAATATATGTACTTTCTTTCAGTAGAAAATGACATTTTCAGTCAGACAACAATTTTACGAGTAAGAGACAGAGAAAATTTCAAACTTTTTAAAATTTAGTGTCAGTAATCAAAGACAGTTTTAGTCAGACAATAACAGTTTTTAGTACTTCATTTCAGTAGAAAATGACATTTTTAATTAGACAGCAAAAAATATTTTTCGCTACTTTCTATATATAGTAAGAAACCAGACATGATTAAAAACATTTTCAAATTGATAATCAGTAGTAAAACTCATTTTTAGTCAGACTTACTCAAATCTCGTTAAGTTTGTTATTAGTAGTAAAAAACAGTTTTAGTCAGACATTTTTATATAATTTCACATTCAAGTAATTTTTACTTAAAAAATATTGTAGTCAATGAGAAAAATGAGGAAGGAATTTTTTTCCCGGTAAACATTCTTTAAAAAAAAAATTATTTTTAACATATTTTCCAGTTAGTTTCCATTTAGTTTCCTGTTAGTATGATTTGAGAAAAGTATTTTTTAATAAAAAAAATGTAGTCAATGAAATAAATGAGAAGGGAATTATTGAGTTAGTTTTAAAAATTTTTTTCCTTTTCCAGGAAAACATTCTTTCCAATAAAATTATTTTTCCCTTTTTTCCAGTTAGTTTCCAGTTAGTATGATTTGAGAAAAGTATTTTTTACTTAAAAAAAAATTTTAGTCATTGAAATAAATGATAGAGAAATTATTTAGTTAGTTTTCAAAAGAGAAAGATTTTTTTCATTTTCCAGGAAAACAACCTTTCAAGAAAAAATTTTTTTCAACTTATTTTCCAGTTAGTATTTTTTGAAAAAAATATTTTTTACTTAAAAGAAATGGTATTCAATGAAATAAATGAGAAAGAAATTTCTTATTATTAATTATTTATACAAAATAATTTAATGATTATAAATAATAATAATCAGCGCGCAATGGTCTAGTAGTAGTAAAAGATAAGATATAGTCAGACGTTACAAAATTCTTATAATTCCAGTAATACGTTATTAATTTAATGCGGTACTTTTAGTTACACATCGCATTTTAAAATAGAAATTCAAAAAAATTAAATTTCTCCTCTATTATATAATTTTGAAGATAATATAATTTTCCGAATTGATATTTATATATAAATAGAATAATAGAAAATTGCGAAAATGTTTGTATCGGATTTGTAAAATCGTTTGAGGGGATCCAACTCGATTTTTGTGACCATTAATAATAAAATGTGGCACTACTGCGGACACACTGTTGCAAAATGTGAAAGCTTCAGTTGCAAACTACGTTGTCGTTTGACGAGACACGGAGAGAGAGAGAGATCCATGAATTTTTATGAGTTTAGGAAATTAATTTGTGTTTTTCGCTAAGCTGGGCTTAGCGCCGCGGTAATTAATTGCGCTGATTGCTTTGCATCATTGATGAGCGGTTCCGAGCTTCGCCGCGTTTACCTTCTCTCACTCTCTCTCTCTCTCGTATTTCTCTCCTCTTCTATTCACTCTCGTATTATCCGTCTCCTCTCTCATTCGCTTTATGGTACACGCGATGTTTCATTTGTTGAGGCTTTGCACGTTTCACTAGGTTATACCACTATATACGCATTTTCGTTCTCTCAAACTATATATATAGCAACGTTTCTACTAACAAGATCTAATTACAACCTGAGCTCACTCAGTTGCCATAAGAACAAAATTGAACATTCATAATGGACTGATTTCCCAGTGAATTAATTTACCACTTTTTTTTAAAAAAAATTTCTTTTCTCAAGAAAATAAAAAATTTTCTTATTAATTTAGAATTACATTTTGAAAATTATAGAAGAAAAACTCTTACTATAGTAAGAGGAAAGTTAATAATTTAACGAAAGTTAAAACATTTAACCCGTTGTCTGTCGCTGACGCATATATGTATGCGTAAAACTAAAACTGGCCAAAAGTGTTCTTTACGCATATATGCGCAACTTAAAAAAAGTGATGAAAAACATCTCAAATATTTCTGAAACTGGTTACTCGGGGGTTTTTGGAGTCGCTGATTCCGAATCTTAGGTCGGTTTTTCAAAATTCAAAATGGCGGATCCAATATGGCGGACGACAATTTGAAAATATGATACAATTCGCTTGAAAATGGTTACTCAGGGGTTTTCGGAGTCGCTGATTACGAATCTGATATCAGTTTTTTATAATTCAAGATGGCGGATCCATTATGACTGAAAATTTTTCAAAATTGATCGGATTTGACTGAAGCTCGTTACTCAGGGGTTTTCGGGGTCGCTGATTCCGAATATGACATCAGATTTTCAAAATTCAAAATGTCGGATCCAATATGGCGGACGACTATCTGAAAATCTAATGCAATTCGCTCGAAACTCGTTACTCGGGGGTTTTCGGGGTCACTGATTACGAATGAGACATCAGTTTTAAAATTCAAAATGACAGAACCAATATGATAATAAGAGAATTACATTATATTATATTTTCAAATTGTCCGCCATATTGGATCCGCCATTTTGAATTTTAAAAAACTAACATGGGATTCGTAATCAGCGACCCCAAAAACCCCCGAGTACCCATTTTCAAGCGAATTGCATTATATTTTCAAATTGTCGTCCGCCATATTGGATCCGCCATTTTGAATTTTGAAAAACCGACCTTAGGTTCGTAATCAGCGACCCTGAAAACCTTAAGATACCAAGTTTCATAAAAATTCATTAAAATTTTTTTCAACACACTTTTGGCCCAAATAGTGGAAATCTCGTCGACAGTCAAGGGGTTAAGATTTTTCTGCGGATTTTGGTTTTTGGCCTTAAAGTTTCGCTTTATCACTGTAAAAAGAAGGTACTAAAACAGTACCAATTTTAGGTATCAAAATAGAACCAAATAAAAATTTAGTACCTAAAATCGGTATTAAATTAATACCTTTCGTTTTACAGTGTAGCGTCTATCCGTCCGTCCGTCGTATACTTATACGGTTGTCATAGTAACAGTTACCGTAGCAACTGTTAGTTTTTTTTTATAAAATTTGTTTTAGAATATTTTTACAACAATGTAACTTCATAAAAAAAAATTCAATTAATACATGTTCCCCTAATAATTATTAGGGGTTTGTTGTATGACTTTTGGTGTAATTTTTATCATGCTGTGTCTTTATTCTATACACTGTAAAACGAAAGATATTATAATTTAATACCGACTTTAGGTACTAAATTGTTATTTGGTTCTATTTTGATACCCAAAAATCGGTACTGTTTTAGTACCTTCTTTTTGTAGTGTAAGGATAGAAAAAAACATTTTCATTCAATAAATAATCATTTTGAAAATCAAAATTATCTTGATAAATGGTAACCCAGTGTCTCTCTCTTTCTCTCTCTCTATATATATATGATGAGTTGTCTCGTAAATACATTAGCTTGATGCCTCGGTCTGAAAATCCACTCAAGATCTTAGATTAGAGTTCGTGAAAGTAAAGCCGGGATCTAGACAAGTTATACAACTCATCGAGACTCGACTTGATCCAATTTATTATCGAGGGGAAGGGGGAGGGGGGGGGGGATTTTGGAAGGGACCCTCATGAAAGCGCGTGTCTCAATTTTATTCCTTTAACATTAGAGATAAAAAAAAAAGATCGAAAAACTAGAGGTTCACCAGGACACAAAAGATATATCAATTTTCTTTTCTGGCTTTCTCTCTCTCTCTTTCTATTTCTCTTTGGGAACAGGAAGGGATCGAGCATACGTGCCTGCCTCGAGGTTGTGCTTTACGAGTGTCCTTGATTCGCGACGGAAGTCCCTTGATTTAGTGTCTTGTCTGACAAGAAAAAATTATTCTTTTGTTTTCCTCTTTTTTATTCCTAATTGCTCTTCAATTATTCGTCCTACTTCAACAAAAAAAAGAAAGAAGTAAAAAGTAAATAAATGGGGAGACTGTATCTTATACAGGTATGAGAAATTTAGATTTTTTTTTGTTTGTATTTGAAATTTGTCTAGAATGGGAAATTTAATTTTGATGCCGGTATATTTTTAGAGAAAATAATACGATTTTAAGGTTATATGTGGTGTAAATTTAGTTTCTATTGAAACGAAAAGAATTAAAGTTTACAGGAAGGATGCTGCAAAAAGATAAAGGAAGAAGTGAGAAAATGAGGCAATAGAAGAGGAAGAGAGAGAGAAAGAGAGAGAGAGAGAGAGAGAGAGAGAGAGAGAGAGAGAGAGAGGTGGTAGATTGATTGTGTTGGCTCTGGCGGAACACATCGATGAAGTTACATTACCGGCTAGACCGAGTTACGCAAAGTGGACGCTACAAACTGGACGGCCACTAAACTTAGTTTGCACTTGAAGTTAACTTCCGGTTAAACCGCGGTTCGATGTCAGTCGGAACTTTGCCGGTAGTTTGCCTATTCACTGATCGTTTCTAAGTCCACCTAACACTTTTGACTTAACCTTTCTCTCTCTCTCTCACTCTCTCTTCTATATATATATATATACACACGAAGATATCCCATCATCTCGATTGGAATTGTATCAAGTTTCCCATTTCAATTTAAACTTCATTTCCATTTTCGAATTCCCTTTCCTTATGACAATCAGAACTCAAGGAAATCTCATTCATTATTTTTTTCTATCTTCAATTTCGTTATTATAACCCAAAAATAATTTTATAAAGAATTTTTTCTTATGGTATAAATGGTTAAGAAAAATACTTACTTTATTTACTTTTTCATTGAAGATAGGAAAACTTGCTAGGCCCTGATTAGAGTCCCATTTAAAACATTAAATAAGGCTCTAATCTGGATCTGGCCAGTTTTCCTATTTTCAACAGAGGCAAATTTTGTAGTCACTAGAAAATATTGGAGAATGACTTTTTGAAATGGGAAACAAAATCCGTCCCCCAATGTCTCTCTCTCTCATCCCCCCCGTGTACATGACACACAGAAATGGTAGACATATTTTAAAATTTAAGCTATAAAATCGAAATTAGTATTCTCTTCTGAACGAAATATACATGTGATCCATTGTGAATGATTGAATGTGGGGGAGAAGAGAGAGAGAGAGAGGGGGGGGGGAAGGGGCCCTCAGGGACGTCCGGGCACCCTTTCTTTAGTGAGATGTTACCCGCGTGTAGTGCAGGGCCCCTCCTGTCGGGATAAACAGATTAGGTAACTACGTGATAAGTCGGTAAGTGGGTTCACTCGGCCCATAGTCCAGAGACCTCTTCTCTCTCTCTCTCTCTCACTCACCCTTCTGGACCACCGACATTCGCTCTAACATCTAACTACCTCGTTAGTGTCATTAGTAACGGTCGGGGTGTCATTAGATTTCCCTCTACGTGTAGTTTTTCCAGCGAATTCTCCTTGTCTCATTTTTTTTCTGTCCCCCCTCCCCCCAAACTAACAATATCAAAAGTTACTCCTTTTAGCTATATCATTTCGTAATTGAAATCTATTAAATTTTCCCGTTTAATGTAATTTCATTTTCCAACCTTCATCGCCTCACATATATACAGAGACAGTAATTGTAAATTAAATTTAGAAATTTTTCTTTCACCTCTCGAATAAAATGAAGTTTTGGTTTTTATTTCGTAATTTCACTTTCATTTTCACTTTTACATTAACATTTTCTTTTTCACTTTCATTTGAATTTCAACTTGATTTCTTTCCTGAAAATTTTTCGTGGCCAAAGATAAAAGGAAAAAAAACCCTTAGCAACGGTTGTTAAGGACAAAAACGGCTATGGTAACGGTTGCTATGGAAACTGTTGTTATGGTAACGGTTGCCATGAAAACTGTTACCGTACAGACGGACGGACGCCAAAGCGAAATATAAGGATACGAAACCCTAAAAATGAAAGTGAAAGTCACAGTAAAATTGGAACTGAAAGTGAAAGTAACAGTGAAAATAGAAGTCAAAACAAAATCACATAATGTAAAATAAAATTCGTTAAATTTTGGTAATCTGCAAATGGCTGCTCATACCCCAAACGATGGGGTAAAACACGTATATACATATATGTGTTAAATAAACATGGCTTAAAGGTGTCTGGAGGAGAAAAATGCATTATATGTAGACCCTGCTTTAATCTGCGAGAGAGTATCAATTGAAAAATGTAAAGTCAATATAAATTCGACATTTAGGGGTTTGTATGGAGTGAGAGATATGAAAAGAAACGAGATACCCGCAGTGAAAGAGAGTATAAAAATCGAACTTACAGGGATGAGTTGGGGCGAAGGGGTAATCGAGAGATGGTGGAAGTCGGGGGGTCGGGATACCGGGGGGGCAGTGATAGCAGTATATGCCACCGCTTCTGGCCATCACTCCAACACCACCCCCCGACCCACCACCACTGCTACCACCACCACCACCACCGGCTCCTGCTGCTGTAACTGATCCTCCCCCCGAACCCGGCACCTGCGGCTGAGGTGACGGCTGTTGCTGTGGCTGTAGTTGCTGTTGTTGATGTAAATGATTCAATGCCTGATGTGCGTGAACAGATCCAATCTGAAAAAAAAGGAAATTTACATTTTTTTTTTTCACTGAAAATTTGAATATTTTAATATATGACAAAATTTAATCCCTATTGAAAAAATTGACTACTGACGCAGTACTGGCACGACATTAGTACCAGTAACCTTTAGTGAACTCTTAACAAATTTGTAGGGATAACTAAATAAATTATTTTCCTTTTCTCTAATTTTTATTACTATTTATATAACTTTGATTTTTCTATAATGAAAAATATTGAAATAATAAAATAAATATTGTTTACAAATAGTGTAAATATTTTAGGGATAAAAGGATTCTATCCTTATGGAATTTTTCAAAAGTCGATATTTCAATTACACATTCAAAAGGTTTGCAGTCATTTTTTTTTTTATTAGAGTTTACTATGAATTTAAATCCTGATATGTTTAGTCTAAATAAAAAAATAACCGTTTTTCCAATATTGCATCATAGTGGAAGTTGAAATATTCAAACGTTTATTAGAATTGGATTCAGGTTAAAAAAAGAAAATTTTAAACAAAAAATTTGATAAATCTGATTAGTTATGGTTTATGAAAATTTTTTATTATTTCATCAGTACTCTCTAAATTTGAATTAGTAAAAATGTTTACTAATTTGAATTAGTGACTCACTTTTTGCTTCTGAATTAGTAAAATTTTACTAATTATTAGTAACTTTTACTAACAATTAGTAAAATTTAACTAATTCAGAAGCAAAAAGTGAGTCACTAATTCAAATTAGTAAACATTTTTACTAATTCAGATTTAGAGAGTAGTGAAAGTCAATTTTGTGGTAGACAAGAATTAAATGTTTTTGAAACTTTTTTATGAGTTGTAGGTACAAGTCACTTCAGAAATGTTTAGAATTTTTTGATTTTGGTATTAGTAGTAAAATCAGTATAAGTCAGACTGATTTTTTTTTAAAAATATGGTATCAGTAACAAAAGTCAACTACTAAGTCAGATACAGTTAATTTTTTTTATGTAATCCAGTAGTGTTAGTCAGTTTTAGTCAGACACGGTTAAAATCTTTTTTAAAAATGTGTTATAAGTAGTAAAAGTCATTTAAAGCTGGCCACAGTAAAATTTTTCGAATTTGGTACCAGTATAGTGAAAGTCAGGTTTAGTCAGACAATAATTATAATTTTTTTAAAAATATGTTATTAGTAGTGAATGTCAGTTTTTGTAAGGCAACGATGAAATTTTTTTTAAAAATTTAGTATCAGTAGTATAAGTCAGTTTTGGTAAGGCAACGATGAAATTTTTTTTTTTAAATTTTAGTATCAGTAGTATAAGTCAATTTTGATAAGACAACGATGAAATGATTTTAAATGTTAATATCAGTAGTATAAGTCACTTTTAGTCAGCCCCGGTTTCAAATTTTTTCAAAAATCTGTTATCAGTAGTAAACTGGCATTTTAAGCTAGCCACAGTTACATTTTTTTGAATTTGATCAGTGAATGTTAGTTTTAGTCAGACGTTTACAATTTTTATGAATATGGAATTAGTGATAAAAATCAGTTATAGTCAGACACAATTTAAAATTTTCCAAATCTTGTATGAGTATAGTAAAAGTCATTTTTAGACGCGAACATAAATTATTATTTTGTAAAACAAAAAAATTCATCATTCAGCAATTAAAAAAATATTGTGAAAAACTTGACGCATAACGAACAGTAGTTGAGATCGACGAGTGGTCAGACGCACATTCTCGAAATGCGAATTGCGGACCAAATTTCGTTAAATTTGGCAGCAATTACTTTTGATATCCGACACGCGGGCTTAATTGCATTGCACTCGTGTGAGAGAGAAGGGCAATAGCAAGCAGAACATAGAGAGCGTACGAGATAAAGAGAGAGAGAGAGAGAGAGAGAGGGGGGGGGGTAATAATTCGCTAATATCAATTTCAAATTTCAATTAGTATCATCTCGACGGCACTCGGCTCTTCCCGGGCTCTACCATGTCATGATCGAAAATTCAATTTGTCCCTTCGTAGACCCGTAGACGAGGAGGGAGACAGATTAAATGAGAGCGCAAGAGAACGATAGAGAATGAGAGAGAGAGAGATAGAGAGATAGTTTATGATTCTAAAGCCATTCGCGTGCGGACAAAAGGACCTCCTATACATGTAGCCGCATATATATATAATATAAATATATATATATATATACATAAAGACCTATACGATATGACAAGCTCATTATAAATTTATAACATGCCGTTTATTAAGTTCTGCGATCGATGCCTGCTTAGCCATAGAGAACCCCCAATACATTCGTTATTTATTTACATGAGTTTACAATCCCTCTAATGGGAATCTTCGTAATCGGTCTGCTCGCATTTCTGAGTGGCATAATCAAATTTTCCTCTTATAAAACAAAACACTCCCGTCACTTTTGTATATATAAATTGATATAGATTTTTAATTGGTCCATTCGTGAAAATAAAATAACGTGCGTCTGAAGAAAAAAAAAACAATTAAAACCATAACAGTTTGATATTTTTCTGTGGATTTTAAAAAATCTTTTCATTATATAAAACCAAAAAAGAATTTTTCTAATCACTTTTCACAAAAATCTCTCGATAACAGATTTTAATTCTACAATTTTCTTTTAAACTTAGAAAAAAAAACCTTTTTTTTACAGTTTAAAATAAGACTTTCACTTTCTTATTTCTTATCAATTTCAATAAAATGGAATTATTTTTAAATAATTTCAAATTATTATTATTTTCTCTAAAATAGAGAAAAAAACGGTAAAATAATTTAAAAATTAAATTTCATACTCTCGAATGAATATAATAATATACTATATTATATCTTTGGTATATGAGTGTCGAGGAGTAAACACACTCGAAACCTCAATCTCGTACTCTCGCCCCAACCCCAATCGGATGATCGCACAATAAAACACTGGCATAATCTTTCGCTTGGGTGGTTGAACACCACAAATACACACACATTGTGTGTATACGCCACACCAAGCATGGACCACATGCTGATTATTTTCGTGTATATATATATATAGGAGAGGAGGAGGGGGAGTTTGTATTCTTATGCACTTATTAGTGGATGGGGTAAAAGTGTATATGTCTCAAAATCGCTGTACCCGAAGGCCGTATGCGGATTAGCCTCGCTACATTTCGCCCCTTCTGTCGACGCGTATGTTCCCTACACTATACATATATATATAAATATAGCCAGTGCTTTACTTTATCCCAAAGGCATCTTACTTGCATTGCTAACAACTTTTAACCCATATCGTTTCTACTAAATCAAATATATATACACTACTTGGATTAATAACCCTTGATCGACCCTTTCTCAATTATGATTTTGTTTTTTCTTTTAAAAACTTTTAAAAAACACAAAAAATACGCTGGATAAATTTTGTTGCGGGTAATTTTAACTAATTAACATAGATCCTCAATTAGAATAAAATTTGTTGCAGTTAATTTTTATATCGATTTTGGGGTAAAAGATCCACTTTTTAGGGTTTTGTGGCCCAGGTCCGAAAGCCTTATAGTTTCGCTTTGGCGTACGTTGCTATGGCAACAGTTACTTACTATGGCAAAAGTTACTAAGGCAAAAGTTAGTTACTAGGGCAAAAGTTACTAGGGCAGAAGTTACTATGGCAAAAGTTACTAGGCCAAAAGTTAGTTACTAGGGCAATAGTTACTAAGGCAACAGTTGCTATGGCAGAAGTTACTATGGCAAAAGTTACTAGGGCAAAAGTTAGTTACTAGGTCAAAAGTTAGTTACTAAGGCAAAAGTTAGTTACTAGCGCAATAGTTACTAAGGCAACAGTTGCTATGGCAGAAGTTACTATGGCAAAAGTTACTAGGGCAAAAGTTAGTTACTAGGTCAAAAGTTAGTTACTAAGGCAAAAGTTAGTTACTAGGGCAATAGTTACTAAGGCAACAGTTACTATGGCAAAAGTTAGTTACTAGGGCAATAGTTACTATGGCAAAAGTTACTAGGGCAAAAGTTAGTTACTAGGGCAATAGTTACTAAGGCAACAGTTACTATGGCAAAAGTTACTATGGCAAATGTTAGTTACTAGGGCAATAGTTACTATGGCAAAAGTTACTAGGGCAATAGTTACTAAGGCAACAGTTGCTATGGCAGAAGTTACTATGGCAAAAGTTACTAGGGCAAAAGTTAGTTACTAGGGCAAAAGTTAGTTACTAGGGCAATAGTTACTAAGGCAACAGTTACTAAGGCAACAGTTATTATGGCAAAAGTTACTATGGCAATAGTTACTATGGCAAAAGTTACTAGGTCAACAGTTAGTTACTCGGGCAATAATTACTATAACAAAAGTTACTATGGCAGCAGTTACTTACAATGGCAATAGTTACTATGGCAAAAGTTACTAGGGCAAAAGTTAGTTACTAGGGCAATAGTTACTATGGCAATAGTTGATTTCCGCAGCAACCGTTTCCATAGCAACCATATAGCAATTCACAAATAATGTAATTATAAATTATTTATTATCTTCAAATAACTTTTGATCTGAATTTAAAAAGCCACGAAACCCTATAGATGTAGGCATTTCGCGTCTGCTTTTTTTTCCTTAACAACGGTTGCTAAAGATTTAGAAGCAAATGCCTTCTCATGCTTTCTATTATTATCATTTTTTCGTGTAAAAGTAAAAATAATATTAAAAGAAAAATTGATGATTAATAAAAATTAAATGAGTTTAATAATTTTTTTTTTAAATTTCAAGAATGTCGGGTGAAAATAACTTACATAGATGAGGTTAATTTTCACAATTCGCATTTGTTGTTTTGTAATTTATAAAGAAGTGAATAAATGGTTAATCAGACGATTCTTGTAAATTGATTTAAACCCGACTTACATTCTGCAGCGCCATTTCAATCACTTTAGATTAGCCACGATTGTAATACAGAGCAATTGTCCTTTATTTAATTGACGATTTTAGATTAGATCTAGCCTTAGAATAAATCACGTGAATTTTTTTTTTTTTTTTTTTCTTTC